TGATTTAAGAATCCCTGTAGCAGCAAACCTAAAAACTCGTTAAACCTAATGTTATTTCAATTAGATTTCATTTCAAATAAGTTCAGGAAAATGGAAATTTGCTTAATCTGCATGTTTGCTGCGGCGGGGGTATTTTATAGTATAATGGAAATTGTACATATGTAGGTATATGTTTATCTTTTAACGTCACCCACAAATTAAACACCACGAGCAATGCTCGGTCCGGTGGGGCACACGGAAGATTTCTCAGGTGCCGTTTGACGTCACTAACTGCTGATGTCACTAACTGCTTCGTCTGAAGAAACAGAAAATTTTATAATTTTTCTATTATTAAATTAAACTGTCATAACCTTACCAAACGTGCTGATAATGGAAAAATCTAATTAAGGTTTACTAATCTAAAAAATAGTTTTGTTCATAAAACAAAATTATAAATGCCTAAAATTCAATTTTATAATTTTTTAATTATAAAATTAAACTGTCATAACCTAACCAAACCAACCAAACTTGCTGATATGGAAAAAATTGTTGACAAAAAGTTAATGCTACCGGCGGGATTCGGACCCGGTACCCTCGGATTATCAGCCCGCCACGCTATCCACTACACCACCGAGGCCGATGGCACAAAACCTTATCGTTGCGTTATTGGTGTTCCCTCAAAGTTACGTCAGCAGTTAGTGACGTCAAACGGCACCTGAGAAATCTTCCGTGTGCCGTTTCGATGCTCGGTCCCCTGGTACTTTATCTTAAACATGTAGAGTTATTCAAACTCATTCATTCTTGTTATTATTAAATAAAAATGAGCATACTGTTTGAATTTGTGAATAAAAATGTTTTTAGGAGTTCAAGCAAATTTCCCTGTGGTATACGGGTAGAAAGCAACCATAAACGGTATTATTCAATCACTTGGCATTAATAATTTCACATCTTACTTATGTTGACGGTTGCCTTAAAGGCTAGTACTCACTAGGACACCCGGTCGCTTATCAACCGGCGACCTAATTGACGAGCGACTAAGTTGATGATTGAACGTTTTATTGCTGGGTGGTACACACTAGGATACCTAGCACTTTCAACCAAGCTGGAAATCAATCAAAATTTGGTGGGGATAGACAATTTGTTTTGTTCTGGTTCAGGCTTAAGCCTATCAAAGTGTGAATCTCAATGACAACACCATGCCCCCGACGGAGAGGAAATAGCTGCTGAAGTTTTGATTATATTAAAAACTGTGGGAAGTAAAGAAGAAGAAAGAAATTGTTTAGAAGATTTTGGGTTAAAGGGTGGCTTTAAAGTAGAAATAGTTACAGCCAGCCACATCGGCACTCCTACGAGCTTTTCGACTTAAAAATCCACAGGATTTTAAGAACTATTTACATATTTCAGATGACAGTTTCCGTCATACTAAGCAACCAGTGACACCCGTGACACCTCACATAGAAAAAAAGGACGTCAGATTGAGATTTTAGCATGGGTTTGTTTCGTCAGTTCATTTTTCGTTGTACTGCGCATGCGCTAGCCGTCTTTAGTTGATCAACTTGGTCGCTGAAGCGTACACACTCTAGTTTTTTGAGAAATCTGATTGCCCGGCTATAAAATGGTTGATCGGAAACCCCCAGGTTTTCGATACATGTCCGAAAACCAAAAAGTTGCCTGGCAACCTACAAATCGCCGTCAACCAAATTGACAGACACGTACACACACGGCGATATTTGTGCAATTTGGTCGCTCGTCAACCAGATCGCCGGTTGATAAGCGACCGGGTGTCCTAGTGAGTACTAGCCTTTATTTGCCTAAAGACACTAGTACAGTCATTGGTTAGTAATTTCTACTAAGAATTTTGTTTACTAAAACGTTAAGTTGTTTGACTGACGATGTCGTACAATAAACCAATCTTACACAACAATTCCTCTTCGATATCAGGCCATCCGTCAATTTAAAAAGATTAATGGACAGCTAGCTTGTCAGCCGCTTCGTCTACACGTAACACCCCAAGAGAAGTTTTTTTGTTACTCTCATCTTGCGATCTACTTGAAGACTTTAATTTTTCTTTGAAAGCATTAACACGCTACTATCAGTACCAAGACAAGCCCCGCAGAAATATTTTTTATGAGTAATTAAGAAATAAGAACAAACAAACCCTACCACAGTAAACCTGCAGACTAAGCGAACTCCCCACCTGATTATAATATTTTCACTCAAATAGCTCCTTGAAAATGACGGCTGTAGTACAGTACCTATTTAATGACACTTGACCTGTATATATATATACAGGCATTATACAGGGTGAATAAAAAGTCAAGACCCCCCCTCTAATATTTTTCCAAGTAAATATACAGAGATATCCTTTTGGTGGTCGAGCAATCTTAGCAGGAAGTTTCATTTTATCATTTTGAAATTTTTGAGTGACCCCCCAAAGGGGGGATTTGGGGGGCAACTCAAATATTTTAAATGTAAACCCCCTTCAAGTGACACCTCATTTTGAAGTGTTTACAAAAACTTAAATAATGGTGAAAACTAGAGGTCGATATCTCTTCTCTATCCAAAATGGTAGCCCGTCAAATGTTGTGGAAAATCAACGGTAAAATTGTTAATATTGGCTGCCATTTTGGATAGAGAAGAGATAGGGTGCTCTGGTTTTCACCATTCTTTAAGTTTTTGTAAACACTTCAAAATGAGGTGTCACTTGAAGGGGAATTACATTTAAATTTTTTGAGTGTCACCCAAAAGGGGGATTCAGGGGACAACTAAAAATGTTTCAATCGAAACCCCTATCAAGTGACACCTCATTTTGAAGTGCTTAAACAAACTTAAAGAATGGTGAAAACCAGAGCTCGCTATCTCTTCTCTATCCAAAATGGTAGCCCCTCAAATGTTGTGGAAAATCAATGATAAAATTGTTAATATTGGTTGTCATTTTGGATAGAGAAGAGATAGCGAGCTCTGGTTTTCACCATTCTTTAAATTTGTTTAAGCACTTCAAAATGAGGTGTCACTTGATAGGGGTTTCGATTGAAACATTTTTAGTTGTCCCCTGAATCCCCCTTTTGGGTGACACTCAAAAAATTTAAATGTAATTCCCCTTCAAGTGACACCTCATTTTGAAGTGTTTACAAAAACTTAAAGAATGGTGAAAACCAGAGCACCCTATCTCTTCTCTATCCAAAATGGCAGCCAATATTAACAATTTTACCGTTGATTTTCCACAACATTTGACGGGCTACCATTTTGGATAGAGAAGAGATAGCGACCTCTAGTTTTCACCATTATTTAAGTTTTTGTACACACTTTAAAATGAGGTGTCACTTAAAGGGGGTTTACATTTAAAATATTTGAGTTGCCCCCCAAATCCCCCCTTTTGGGGGGACACTAAAAAATTTCAAAATGATAAAATGAAACTTTCTGCTAAGATTGCTCGACCACCAAAAGGATATCTCTGTATATTTACTTGGAAAAATATTAGAGGGGGGGGTCTTGACTTTTTATTCACCCTGTATAGATTTGCTGCGAGAAATGATGGTGTTTTGACCTCTGGGTACCCCAAAACGAAAACGTAAATCGGTCCCGGGTCCAGTTCTTATCATGAGACCTACAGTAATAGTGTATTCCCTATATGGGGAAATTAGTTAAAAGTACTTATCCTGTGAAACTGTACAGGCATAATTATAAGAGTGTGATTTGGTGAAGAGGACTTTACCCCCAAAGAGTTAAATGGTAACAAAACATTCTAAAAATAAATAAAGTACTGTATGTGCAACAATGACATTTTGATTTTCACATTTTGATATTTGTCGACTACCTTACGTCTATTTTGATTTATAGAATACATAATCTATGACAAAGTTTCAGAATAAATATACCACCACATAGGTAGAGCCTTATTATGCGTTAGTTGTTAGTGCTAAAAATGCGGTATTTGTGTAAAAATTGTATTTAAATTTGTTAGGATCAGCTGTCTGAAACTGTGAAATAAGCATTTAGCAGTTCTGATTGCATTTAATTTAAATGTCAACGCAAAGGTAAACATTGTGAATTTTCTCATGCTTCCATGGAGACCAATTAATATTTAATTTTGAAAACCTCACTTCAACTTTGGACATCCAAGGGTCCTAGCCCGAGAGGATCTCAGGGAAGTGATTAGGGATCCAACCACTCTGTGATTTTGACATCACCCAGTCGTTTGGCATATTCAACTTAAGAGGTGAAAATGCCTTAGGCCTAATATGTCTTAGGCCTAAGACATTCCTAGATATTTGGAACGTTTTTAAATTTTCAAATGAGTTGTGTTAGCAAACACGAGTTTTTCTAAAGTAAAGGCTGTAGTCAATCACGTTTTTAAGGTTATAAGTCCGCATTTCTAAAATTTAGTCAAAATGCTTCCATTGGATTTCGAGGTACCCTTTAAAATTAGACTACAGACAGATAGACAGACAACAGACTTTGCTCGTATTAGAGTAGGATTACAGTATTGAAAATAAACTACTACATCATCATACAAGAGTATTTTAAAAAGTATGCTCATGCTGAAGTTTTACTATAACAATATGGATTTTTTTATTTCAGCGATCGAATATTTATGGTTTGTTATATTTTTTTCGTTAATTAATTATAAAATGTCTACGATGTTTTTACGATTAAAGCCAACTAACCACAACCAAACAAGGCTCTGTCCCCCGGTACTGGTATAGACATTGACCATTTGACTATATAACATAGTCAATGGTATAGATTACGCGTGACTAGCAATGATATATTTTGTTTTATGGGTCACCAACAATAAAATTACGTAACTTCATGCAGTATGAAGAACTATTCACACCATGATCATTGACTTTAGGGAGTATGTTTTGATCACCGATTCTACATCTTAAGGTATAATCAATGGCTTAATCTATCACAGAATTACTCCTCCAAGGCTTCTTTTTTTTTAGTCAGCTGTTTTGTCATTCTGCGCTGTCGCCGACGTCTCTATCTTATTAAATTTGTCGTCTGCTAATCGATCAATGAAAATGAACAGATGCTTGCCTTGGTTATGTCGTAATAAACTATGGACAATTTAATTATGTATACATTCAGACATAAAATTAGTTATTTTAACAAAAAGTAGAATAGTTAAGAAACTTATCTATCTTTATCTGTACTATGGCTCCTTTAATGTACAATGCTGTATTACTTTTAGGTAAGTTATAGTTGTATACTGTTTGTTTTTACATTGTTATGGTTAAAATGAGTGATTTAGTGTGAATTTAATTTAAACTAGTGTACATGTTGCTCGAATTCGAGCAATTGCAAAGTGTTACAGGAGTTATTTCAAAACGAATAACAGTCCTATTTACAATGAGTTTAAAAGAGTCAACTCAAAGATAACCAGTGTGTAACAAAAAAGATACACTCACAATTTTTAACAGTAATCATTATTTCCTGTAAATATTGTATCATATTTCATAACCTGGAATTGCTTTTTAATGTTTTCTACAAACATTTCCTGACTTATACCCATATAAGGTTGTCCATGTTTATCTTCGTTAGTGATCAACCTAAAGCATTCCGGCCGGTTTTCTCCTTCTCAAAATGCCTCGCTGTACAGGCAACACAGCTCATTGATAGGGGGCCAATTGAGACCGAAAAGTCATTTTGGGGCGCTTTGTAACTACTAGTTGAGATTGTCCAGGGTCACGCGCCACTGTTCTGTAGCTGTGGTCGTAATCGCGATTACGCCTCCTGTCTATGTTTAGTTTTCGTCGTGTCGGTGGCATTTAAAAGAAAAAAACAACAAATAAACAAATTATAGCTACACAAAACAACGATAAATGCACAAATTAAAGTTACAATCATGCTAACACGATCCTTCATAGCGACACAAAACAACGATAAATACACAAACTTAAGATACAACCATACCAACACGATCCGTCTCGGGGATTATGTTTACACAAACTCAAATAGTAAATAAAAGAACTTGTTAATGTGTTGACAGAAAACGATAATAAAGAAAGAATGCCAACTAACCATTTGCATTTATGCTGAAACGGGTGCAGTTCTATAGAGAGCTTACATTGTCGGATAAGCTGGGTAGATCAGTGGTTAAAGTGCTCGTTTGGTAATCCACAGGTCGCCGGTTCGATCCTGAGAAAAGTTTATAGCTTTTTATTGGTTTGATACTGGGGGTACACTTCCATATCTGTTGGCACAAACAACCGAATGAGTAATATTAATTATTCGATTGTTTAATTCGATATATCGTTTGGTTGGTTAGGTTAGGTAACCTTACCTAACTAACCAATCAATATATCGATCGATATTTTCATTCGGTTGTTAGTGCCAACAGATATGGAAGTGTACCCGAAACTGGAGCCAGCTGTTCTTGATCATTGGGTGTTTATCGTCCTGACTAAGGAAACAGCTGGTCTTAGTACTTTACTTTAATAGGCCTACTTTATTCTGAAATGGCGACCTTATGAATGTAGGTATTTTTAAGCCAATTATGATTGGAGATGAGTGGCGCGATCTTGTAGTCTTGTTAGGGACTAACGCCGACATGTTCCTTAGACACAGCTGTTAATTAATAGCCCATACAGCCAATGGCAACTAAAGGACATAGGCCTACAGTTTATAGTGGAATCCGAACCACATTTTTGCTTTGTAATTAACGAATTGGTCTAATTATCAGGATAGTACTGTGGCTACATAAGGCATCACTACACTAATATTATCAAGCTCCTGTTAAGTTAAATTTATCAATTTACAAGTCCCGATTGATGAAATCTATCGTGAGCTGGGTCTTCAGCATCTGGAAACCAGGAGGCACATCGCTGATCTCGTTGTCCATTTACCATTTATCATCGATGTCTTCTCCGCCGTCCTTGTAGACAGGGGAATCGTCAATTTCTTGTGAAAGTGTATGTGTGTGAGAGTGTACTTGAGCATTGCTTTCCTATTTGTTGTTTAGGCTATATTTGTGTTCGTTGATAAATTCAGTTAATTTATAATATGGTCGTTGGAGTTACTTTTTTGTCTTGTACAAGCTCCTTATTTGTTCACTTGACTGCCCTGATATGCTTCAGCAGTTTCAATTTCGGACTCCTCAACGCACCTGTTCGAGAGATCTGTTTGTTAGGAAGCACCACCGCACAAACTACGAGATGAATGCCGCACTCACCCGCATGCAAAGGGCGGGCAACAGCGTGCCAGAGACTGTTGACTTTTGCCTGGACAGTGTAGCTTCGATGAAGAGGAAGCTTCAACGTAGTCCCTAATTTGGAAAATTTATTATCAATATTTATTATATTTTAATCATTATGTAGGCCTACACTATTTATTATTTAAATGCAGGGACTTTCTTAGGCTGTTGTTCTGTAAATAGTATTTGTATTGTTTATTTTTCTATATTTCAACATCTATTTATTATTGATGTAGGCCTATATCAATAATTTATTATCTATTATTTATTATAATTGAATAATAATGTACATTATTTATTATCTAAATGCATGTATTTTCACTAAGGCCAGAGGGAACGCTACATTATTGTTATTAAATACTTTTTCCATCTTGTTTTGTTGTAAGAATGTAAAGATGGAGTTTGTCCGTTGGTATGTAAAATAAAACACTCATCCTTCACTCATATTTGGGTTAAAATCCGCACATAGTATTTATCTTTGTGAATTTATCTATTTAAAAAATTAAACAAAATATCAACTTTTCCTTATTATCACTTAGGCTAACTAAGCAAAACTTAACTAACTAGCCTAACCTAATTGCCGCAGCAGCACAGTGTACAAAAAGCCTTCTTAAAAACGTGCAATTGATATATCGTGTGAAAACTACAGGCCTATCCAATATGATATAATTATCAAACTAACATTTCATCCGATAATATAGGCCTATTCAAGTTTCTCAGCGAAACTTTACCCGTTTAAACTGAAGAGGGTCTATTTTCTGTACTGTCAATGATTATTGGGTAGGTACAAGTTAGTTTGGTTGAATAAACTTAGAACCAAATACAATATTAGTTAATATTCAGCCAAGAAGAAGGTAGATAGATTTAGGTGGAAATAATGCTATGTACAGTAGACTCTCTCTTATCCGGATACCTTTTAACCGGACTACACTTGGCGGAAATGACATCTGTTTAACCGGACAATTTTTATCAGCACATTGGTTTAACCGGACTAGATCGGCAGGAAGTGGGCAGTACTGAAACGACTGTTCTCGTGGGAAAGATTTGAGACCAGTGATCACGTGTCTAAATACAATGCTCTCCTAAATTTAAGTCGAATATCACAGTAAACAGTCCGTTTTAATGAGTGTTTTGGGACGTCGGTTTAACCGGAAACCCTGTTATCCGGACTGGCCTCGGTCCCGAGGATTCTGGATAAGAGGAAGTCTACTGTAGTAGTCAACTGAACTAAATAAATGCCATTTGGCAACTTAACACCCGGACCATTTTATTTTGACAAAACCAACATTGAAAATCTTCTTAATTAACTTATTGTAATAAGAAATCTGACTTGACAAGTTTTACCGTGGGGCAGATACGCTCACCAAGCCTTTTCCACCATTTAATACCTTTACTCTTATAGGCACAGTTAAACTTGCTTCCCGTTGGTCTATCTTCTGTAGTTTCTCCTAGGGAGGGTAGGCTTCATATGGCCTGAAGGCAACACAACCACCACACTAAAATGAGCTCTGTGAATCGTGCAAAATAACAGATCCGGTTTTTTGTTGGTGCAGTATCTTATTTTTTAAAACATATAATTGTACAATAGAGTATCATCTTTGCCATTTACCAAGTTTTGTGTTGGGTGTATGATTTTAATGTAGCCTAAAACTTATCTATTTATTTTTGTGTTTATTTATTTCCACTGTATTGCAAGGTTTTTATAGGAATTATTATGTAAAATAAATTTGTTACAGGTCTCCTTCAACTGGTGAGAGGTTCACGTGTATTGGAGTTAAGTGACAGGTAAATTTGAATTTTTATAACAATCACCTCTTTTATTGTGGTAGGTATTTCTCCAATCTTGTGGAATATTTTGATTTTGTTAGAACAAAAAATATAGGCCTATGTTTCTATTTTAATAGTGATTCGTAAAAAGAATTTGACACAATTTTCTAATTAATCTTTCTTCTTACTTTAGGTTTCTGGATGTTAAAAAAGATGGACAGTGGCTAATAATGGTAAGTTTCATTATACAAAGTTTAATTATAACCTTTTTAGATACAGTACTGTTTAAGTAATTTCCAGTAAGATGATAAATTTCTCAATTTTGGTAATTGAGTGAAAATTTAAAAACGTACGTTTTCATGTACCTGGCCTTTTACTTCGTAGATACTGGATTTGTAGTTTATTATTATGTGTTTTAATATTTTTTGGGACAGGGGCAACATGTTACACACATTTATTTGGTTTTAAATAGGTTCTAGGTATTTCTTTCGTATTTTTAAAGTCTCTAAATTCACGACCATGACGTGTCCCTAGGGTCCATTTTCCAACTTTCACGCTGTTTTTAGACTAATTTTTCATGCCGAAATATATAAAGCCATATTTTTATGTCATCAATGGTTATTAAACTTACAAAAAAGGAGCATATTATAATTTTATTGTCATTGCAAACTGACTACCATGACAAAATAAGTCAGTCCCTCGATTTGGCGTCACAACCATTTGGGAAAAATTTTCAACTTTGGAGCACGACAGTGGCAAGCCTGGTGTCGATGGAGTCAGTTGGTTTTAGAGACTAGTTCGGGGTGTACGTCAGGATTATAGTGCCGGTCGTTTCGAGTTGAAAGGAGGAATTACAAGATTAATAAAGGTTTTCCATTTTCCACTAAAGATGCTCTTTGTACGCTTGATATTGCGTTACCATGGACATTTTATGAAACTTCAAATGTTAATGAAATAAAAAAAATAATAAAAGTTTTGAAAAAAGGGGAAAAAATTTGCAAAGTGCTTTTCCTGAAAACGTATGTTTTTAAATTTTCACTCAATTCTTTATGTGAGGCTTGAGTTTATAAGAAGGCATTTCTGCTATTACGGTCCACAGGATGTATCAAGAGCCTCTATCAAGAGATTAGGAGCTCATTATGTTTAAGATTTTTTAGGGCCTCTTTAAATAAAAAAAAGTGAAAATGTGAAGAATTACTGTATTCTAAAGTGTTGTACGAGGGTAATGCAATTTTTGTTTGTGGATATAGCCTATTAATTTAACTGGAGCCAGTTGGTAAATAAATGTAGCAACAAAACTCAACCTGAAATAAGAATGTTTTTGTTTGTTTATTATAGTATAACTAGTACCGGTAACAATTTCTCGCCTCTCTGAATTTACTTTAAAGTAGTCAAAAAACAAATTATTTTGTGATGCTTAATTGGTAGTGTTGCTCTGGGAAATAGGTCACAAGATCAGTAATAGTTTTTTTTATGAAAATGCTTGGTCTGGTATTGATGCACTGCTGTGTTTCAGTTCTACGCCCCGTGGTGTGGCCACTGCAAGCGACTAGAGCCTGTGTGGGGGCATGTGGCTCAGTCTCTGTACAACACCAACATACGTGTCGGCCGAGTGGACTGTACCAGGTTCACCAGCATGGCTACCAAGTTCGGAGTCACTGGGTTCCCCACAATCATGTTGTAAGGGTTGATAAAACTACCTAAATACACATTGTAGCTCTTAAGAGTTCATATATAACTGAATCTCAATAGTTCTACAAATGTAGGGTTCAGTTTCCCCAAACTGCAGTTTTGGCTTTAAACACTTGTCTTCCATGCATCATCCAACTTAGCTTTAGTCCTCACCCAGACCAACGTTGCTTCAAGTTAAATTAATTTAATGTAAGAAAATATAAATCATAGTGGCTCCCAATATGCTTGGTTGTCTATATTTTTGGACAGTCTGAGAATATTTCATGCCAAGACTTGTATTAAAATGGCTATGTTGACAGAATGTAATATTTGCTGAGTCGGTTTGCTGTCTCTCAGTCTTCATCTCCAATTTACTTCAGTCTCTGCTCACTGTTTACTTTTGCAACTTATTCACTTTTGCTACAGTAGACCTATTATTGTTTAGTATGGAAATAATACAATAATAAATCAAGAGCACACCGCATGGAAATGGTGTGATAGAAAATTGCATCAACTTTCATCGAACCATTTTCATCCAGTCAACTCTTGGTGGATTCCACCAATAAATCCCACAGTTCAGTCTGTTATCATATGTAGGGTTTTCTTTGTTCAATGTTTCATCTCACATATAATTATGTACTTGCATTGTAAATCCCCTGTGGTGTTTCAGCCTGAAAGGAGACGAGGCAACTCACACGTACCACGGAGACCGGACCAAGGAGGAGATTATCAACTTTGCCATGAGAGTGAGTGGTCCTCCAGTACAGCCAATCACAAGGTCCGAGAGTCTTGACCATCTCAAGGCTAACAACCCATTGTTCTTTGTCTACGTGGGAGAGTACGAGGGGCCATTGTGGGTAAGTCAATTGGAAAAGAAAATCTGTGAATGCTTCAAGTTGGTTTTGGAACTCCAGGATTCAGTTTTTATCAATAAATAAAGTAGACTCCCTCTTTTCAGGACACCTTTTAACCGGACATTGATTTAACCGGACTACACTCGGCAGAAAAATGACATCTCTTTAACTGGACAATTTTTATCAGCACATCGGTTTAACCGGACTAGATCGGCAGGAAGTGGGCGGTACTCAAAGGACTGTTCTAGTGGGAAAGAGACCAGTGATCATGTGTCTAATTACAATACTCTCCTAAATTTAAGTCAAATACTGTATACAGTATGCAATTAAATGGTCCATTTTAACAAGTTTTTGGGGACGTCGGTTTAAACGGAAAACCCGTTTTCCGAACTGGCCTCGGTCCCGAGGAGTTCGGATAAGAGGGAGTCTACTACCGTATTCTCTTTGACTATATATACAATTAGACTTTATACCGCCACGTTTTTGCAGGTTTAAGAATTAAATTGTACTTAGATGAATTTAGCCAGCTGAATTTTATTCTTAATTTATATTAGGAGTTTGCTAATATAAATTATACTGATTTTTGTTGAATACACAGATGTTTAACCAAATCAAACTGATATGTCTATTTATTTTCAGCTACAAAATCTTTTATATGGCATCAACCGTCTCAGTAAAAAAAAACTTAGGGGGAAAACAGTTATTGACTGTTGTAAACTTATTTAACTAAATTTGTTTATAAATAGTAGGCGAGAGCTAATCCATTTAGATGGGGTGTCTCTACTTTAGTAGGCCTATCCAAAAGTCAATGATGCAATCTATGCTAAAAAATGTTCACTTTAATCTCTGAATCTAATTGGTATTCAGTACAATGAAACTCAAATAGCAAAATAATTATGAAAAATACAGGTTTTACTGAGATCATACCAACAGTAATCTTTTGAACCATTTGTTGTCAAGAAACTACGTCATTAATTCTTCTGAAACTATCCGTTCTTTCTCAGAGATTTACAGTTAAGGTAATTTTGTAGTGATAGCAGTCATTTTGAATAAAATTGCTAGGACAATAATCTAGTTGCGGGAACCGTTGTGCCGTTCCCTGGGGAAAATATGGTTATACATAGATAGAAATAAAAAAAAACAAATCAACATTGTCATTAAAATAAAAAATAAAAAATCTCAAACCATTTTATTTTCAAAATCATTGATTGTTGTACCAAACCTTAATTTATCCTATTGGTATAATATTTGAAAGCTAGCTCGGTTTGCCAAATAGTTTGACATAAACTTATTGTTTCAGGAAACTTACTACCAAGTGGCAGAAATGTTTCAACCTCATGGATTTTTTTACTCTGTTTCACAAGACATTGCAAGGAAAGTAAGTGATTATAAAGTTTGTATAATTTTATTTTTTGATGTTTGGTCATTGGTTATTTTTACTAATTGTTCACAAAAATAATGTAGGCCTATTGAGTTCTAATATCAGCTTTAAAAAATTTTTTAAAAAAGGACACAACAATGTCTTTTTCCTACAGTAACCGTGCACAAATACTAGAAAAATACCGGTATGGATCATAAACATAAACAAATGACGTTTTTGGCCCAAAAGTAAACAAAACCCATGTACTAATAGCATTAATTAAAACGTATGGTTTTGTTTACTTTCGGGCCAAAAGCGTCATTTGTTTATGTTTATGATCCATACCGGGTCTTTTCTAGTATTTGTGGTTATCTGACAAAGTAGGCTTCCTTGCAAAAGTTAACACATTTTTTAAAAATCTTCTAGATGAACTGTATTCTTTTTAATTAGAGCATTACCAGTCTAAACTGCTGTAATATTTTCTCTGTTTCAGCATGTACGGCTGAAAGAACCACCAGAGATTTTTGTGCACAAGGAGAAAACCCATTATTTCTTTGAAGGTCAGTAAACAAAAATACAGTACTAATTTAACTCTTCAGTCTTTATACCTTTGACTGATTAATTGTGAGGGGGCGGACCACAACCTAAACGTGTCGGCCACTTTTTTTTGTTTTTAGAACACTTGGTTATGTTTTTTTTTAGATCCCGTCAAAATTGAGGTATCAGATAAACTGCATCCTACCTTTGAGCTCTGCCTGAGGCAGGTTTCTACCCCTCACAATGATTCCAAGGGTTTTGACTAGCTCTATTGCCTGTTAGGCCTATGTTGCTTGCTTGTGATTGAGAACTATATGTCTAACTATTGATTTTTTGCAGAAGGAGAGATGAGTGTTGGAGGGCTCAATGCCAGCCTTTCAGAGTGGGTTAACAATGAGAGGTTCAGCACCTTTGTCAAAGTTACCCGGACCAACATTGACCAGGTAGGAGTCTTATAATTAGTAATACCATAGTAGGATATATTGAATATTGTCTTTGTATGTTGAAGTAGACAACCCATCACCATAGTGTAGCTATGGACTCATGGAGTTTTTAACTCAAAGACAAAGTTAAATGAGAAGAGCGATGTGCTACTAGAGAACAAAACATTTCCTTTTAGCAATTCATAATGTTACAGTTGATTGTTGCATAAAGGAAGTTTCTTTTGAGATATTTCTCTTCAATTAGTTATTACCATAGGTCATAGTTCTAATTCATATAGATATTTATATATAAAATTCAAATTGTACGGTAACTTACATTTAAAATTAATTTCCATGTTATTCTTATGGCGGAAGTAGACTTATGTATAGATTTCTTGTTTATGAAAGAGCTGCTTCCCTGTAGTTGTAAGTACTTATGTAATCTGAATAGGGAATAAATCCGACATGTTTAAGGACATTTTAGTAAAAATCCTGAAATATAAATTAGCTTAATTTGCAGGTTTACTGTGACGGGGGTATTTTTAATTTGTCATTAAAAAGTTGATGGATTAAGCAGGAAAATGGAATGTCTACCTACTTCATGTTTTTGTGAAGTCAATAGTTACACTCAATTTAGCCTAAACTCTATTTAGAACTAAAAACACATTCTCAAACTTGCTGGTTGTTTTATGCTGATAAATTTTAAAAACTCTCAGCTAACTTGTAACATATCATGTGTTGTAGCTGATGAGGACCAACAAGTTCCTGGTACTAGCTGTTGTTCAGGAGAATAAACTGCAAGAAGTACCTGAGGAGATGATAGAGTAAGTGTCCATGTCTGTCAGTGAGCAGGTTAGGTTAGCCACTATTAAGTGATATGGAATGTAAATTAGGCTAACCACACCTTAACACGTTCGCTGCGGGTTACCGCCCGGGCGGTAGCTCCGCCACGCTGCGGCGCGCCGCCCGGGCGGTAATGTGCACCCGCCAAACTTATTCCGTTTGAGTGCAGCCGCACTCCGGTGTAGGTCGGAGTATTTTTGTCCGTGCTTCGTGTATGACAGTGGCAGTTTTGTGGTGCAATCCATTTGTAATTATCGTTACTCGTTCTGAAACTATACCTGGTGGATTTTGACTCACTCATTACGTTTGTTAACTGTAATTTTGTGCTATATTAATTTTGTTTTATTGTAAAATAATGGCATCTACTGTGGGTGTTTAGCAAACTACGTCGACTCTTGTCATGAAACAGGACATCACCACACGTTATTTGATATTCGTCATACCGAAATATGAAAGCCAATAGCCCGGCAATTGGGTTTGTTCGACGCTGCGGGCTGCGCCGCACTGGAGCTACGCCTGCCATTTGATGGGCAGCAGCGAACGTGTTAATATTAAGGTTTCCTAGGTGAATGGGTTTTATGTAGACAGTTTAGTTTTCCAAACATCAGTCACCTTAGCGATGGGGCACACCTTTTTAGTTGCCTTCCAAAAAGGATTTTACACTTAAAATTCCAAAACATTCCTGGCGTGTTCCATACCCTACAGTAGCATCCCTGCCGGGGTGAGAAATAGTATCTGCCCATAGCCCAGTATTAAAAAGAATAAATTGTAGAACCAAGAGGGAAATTATCAAGGCAACCAATAACTATTGATTTAATCAATTTTACCAATTACTATAGTTGTATACTGCCAATGAAAGTGATCTTAGTGTTTGAATAAATTTGTTTGTTTCAGGTTTAGAGATATGATTGAGTCAGTAATCATGAACAATAGGGATAGGTATCACAAGTAAGTTCTGTTTTATTCATGTTATTGTTATAGTGGTTTTTTACAATAATGTTCAAGTTAATAATTTTTGGCCAAAGTAATTTTAACTTACAAGGGGAAGTTAACTTTAGAATCTCTCGGGAGCAGAACCTGTACCTCTTGTGCTCTTTGAACAAACTGTCAAATTAAAGTACCGTATTTACAGCTGACTTAATTGATATATTTACATTCATCCAAAATGTAAACATTAAAAATTTGGAAGCTAATGGGAAATATGAAAATGAAATGATTTAATATTGCATTGTCATCCATTTGTGAGCTATGTTTCAAGTTTCAAGCCTCTAGCTCATTGGGAAATGGTTTAAAATCGATTGCAAAATTTGTACCGAACAGACAAGAAAGTGAGCTAATAAAAACGTTTTAATAATGATAGTTTAAGAATTAAAATCCCTTCAGTTTCATAAATTTCAACTTGTTTGTACAGGAAATTAATGCATAGAATGACAACTCTTAGATTAAAATGTAGGAATTTAATTGAGTTAATTTAATGGAATTTAATGTGTTTTAACATCGTTTTAAGGTTTTTAACTGTCAATGTGTGTTAAAACTTTCAAAATTTTTAAATTTTCATAAATTCCCAATATTTGGGAATCATTTTAGACAAGTACCTACATACCAAATTTCATCACAATCGGACCTCAGGACTTGGTCTGTAACTCTGTACACATCTACAAATACAGACAGACACACACAAACATCACTTCAAAAACCACTTTTTTGGGTCCAGGGGAACCCAAAACAGATATATCCACTCAAACTCGAAACTTTTCACGAAAACAATCACTTTCTTCATATGGTATATGGGGAGAAAGTAAAAAGACTCTTTTCAATTCCAACAAACACCCTATAATTTTCTTGTGGAGTTTTGTTATAGATATAAGTTGTTTAAGAATTTGGAAAATAAGTTAGTTAGAAGAATAACTGAACAAAGTCAGGAAAATAATATTTATCCAATATTAAAGGCTAATGAGAAATCAAGTTAATGTTAATACATTAAATCAATGTTAATACATTTGTCTTATGGTTTGTTGTTCCTCAGGTGGTTCCAGTTTGGGTGGGTTGGTAGCCCTGAGCTGGCCAACTCCATCGCCATGACAGAGTTACCGCTACCGTACCTGCTGGTGGTCAACTCCACGACGGAGCATCACCACATGCCAGATGACGAGCCACATCGGCTCACTCCGGCCGCAATACATCTGTTCCTTCAGGCTGTACTTAACCAGTCAGCTCCGGTTAGTACTGCTTGTTGTACAATAGCGTAAATTTATTGATCAAGAAGTTATTCTTTACATTTTATACCAATAACATTACAATATTTTACTTGAATTCACTAAAAAATCACCAACTGTAACGATAACCCTATTTTTGTATGGATGTAAACAAAATTGGCCATCTGTTTTGACATAAACTTGAAAATGTTCAGATGATCGGACAGAATTTAGCACAAACTCTGAAATTTGAGATAATTTGTAGTCCTAGGTATAATTAGATATAAACCAGAATGAAACATAAAAATCTCTGATATTTCGTCTTTAAGACTTTGCAGAGAATAATTTGAACAGAAAAATTTTCATCTTGTAATTGTTTTTAGAGCTATTCAAGCTGTTACAAGTTGATGAAATCAACAAACTCATTGTCTATTTTCCAATTACATTTTGGGCTTAAAATGAAATCTGTTGGTTGTATTTCGTTTTTTTTTTTTATAACCAGCCTAGTAACTTTACAGCAACACTAGCACCCCTAACAACTAGCTGTATTTTACAGACGTATGGAGGGAACACACTGCCAGTGCGGTTGTACAGGCGTTACTTCGAGGCTCGCTCCTCGCTATCTGAAATGTGGCGAGGTAATCCGGTGTTGACGGCCGTACTGTTTGGCCTACCTCTCGGCTTCCTCAGCCTTATATGCTACTCCATCTGTTGCGCCGACATCATGGATGCAGACGACGAGGAAGAAGAAGGTATGGAAATAATCAAGCAGCTCTGTTATGAAGTTTGTAATTTAAGGCAATGTACGCGAGGGGCGGGATGTCAGTCTAAGAGCAGGATGTGGGTGATTTTTTTCTGAAGGCCTGGGTTAAAATGTCACTAATCACTAATCTCACTAATAACATGATAATGCTGGGACTTGATAGTTTAGAATTTACCTTAAAAGAACCACGGAAGTTCAGAGTTGATTATCCGAATGCCTATGTTTGTTTGTGATAAGCCATACAATTTTTTAATGAAAAGTAACTCTCCTGGATATGTCAATTACTTACTCAGATTCCTTCAAAGGTGTTTTTATAAGAATGTAAGACTTCAGCCAGATTTAATGTGATCATCCAAACCACTCTCACTCCCAGTAGTGATAATTAACTTACAGTGTATTGACCTCTGAATGGAGAGCAATATAATTCAATATAATATTTTGAATTACACAGATGATGATATTGAAGGGTTGTGGGGTTTATTGTTCCTACGAGTTTGTGGAGGTAATTGTCAGATTTGTATTTGTCTCGTACATACTTGATCTCCCTCTGATCTTTGCCCCAGTCAGCCAACCCAGACGGCATTTTCTTAAACTTTCTTCTTGCACCTAGTAGTTTTAATCATCGTATAAAGATATCCTACCTAACTAAACAAAACTTTTTTTCTGTATCTCTGATTGTAGTATGTACTTAGAGAGGTTTTTATTTAGTTATACCCAGTGATATAATTCATTATCAACCCCATACTTTTTCCCATTTGCTTGAAAGATTTTCACAGGAGATCCCAAATTGTTGTCACTTTGCTTGATATAGATTTAGCAATTCTCTAATGTCATGTGCTGCATTGTGTTTGTATTCTACTTGAGGTTTTGTCTTCCTTCAATTCATTTTCATAATCTGCAGATCCAGTAGGTTTTTCGATTAGATTTTCCTCTCACAATCTAGATTTGGTGACAACTCAAAGTATTTAATCAGAGGATTGGATATTTCCTGCTGATTTCAGGCGCAGGTTCTGAAGAAACCTTTTTCATTGAGGAAGCCACTAATGATTCAAAAACGCAGAGCAAATCTAGTGAGTAAAAGTGTGCAATAGAGATTGGTGGATAATTGAATAGTAGGGGTTTGAGTACTTTGTATAAAAATTAGCTTAAGAGTCCTTGGAGCCTAGACTAACTAACTCATAAGATTAAAAAAAAAAATACCCCCGCCGCAGCAAACCTGCAGACTAAGCGAATTTCCATTTGATTTACACTGAAATGTCTACTTAAAAATATAACATTTATTCCCGATTTAAATAGAATTAGTTTAACAAGTACTTAGGTTTGCTGCATCAGGGAGGTAAAACTGTTTTTTTTTTATGTTAATAGTTAGTAAGAAATAAAAACATTTTTCAAATTTGATCAAAATATGTTCATAAACAAGCAAACTACAACAGTTTACTTATTCTCCATAAGAATAACATGGGAATTTTAAATTTACAATTTTTAGGAATTTTCTCCGTAACCATTAGGCGCATAATAACGCTTCAATATACTAAATTATTTGTTTTTTTAAGCTCTACAAAATGGTTTGGAAAGAAATTGCTAAATTATATGTTTTTTGGGTCAAAAATGCGAAAAACCTATTTTTACCCCATAAAACCCCCCGTAAACCCCCGTTCCCATGGTCCGATCATGCTGGATCGCGAACTCGTTCGAATAAACGTAGGTTTACACGTTTGTACCGAATTTCATCAAAATCGGATCATTTTTGCTCGAGTTATAGTGCTAACGGACATATATATATATATATATAAATATATAAATATATATATATATATGAATTTGAACGGATGGTGTTTTTGGTCTCTAGGGACCTCGAAACAAAAAAAAAAATCGGTCCCGCGTCCAGGTCTTACCATGAGTACTACGGTAATAGCTTATTCCCTATATGGGAAATTCGCTAATACAAATAAAATTTCTTATCTCACAGTGCACTAGACATTTAAATAAAAATCACTTTGGTATTTGAAAAAATATTTTGATATGGTAAATAACTCTTCAGCAGCTGTATTGAATTATTTAAATTAACGTTGCTCTTCTAAGAGCAAATCCAAGATGGCCGTTGGCTTCCATGGACTCCCTTGGAAAAGAATTCAAAACTTACAAAGAAAACTTCTAATCCCACAGTGTCATAGATAATTTAAAATTATAATCACTTTGGTGTTTGAAAAAATATTTTTGGATGATAATTAACTCCTCAGGAGCTGTATGAAATTATCCAGCCATCTTGTGGTTCTAGGAACAAAATGGCTAGACTTAACGGCAGGATACATCAAATAACCAGAAAATTCGCTAAACACTTTTATTTTAACAAAAATCTTAATGTGAAATTAACCATATGGAAATACTTTTTAAGATACAATCATAGACTAACCAACACAAGTAGACTTCTCATCCCATTGTAAATTTTGAAGCACGTTTTTCGTGTCTAGTTCATGTACGGTGACACTGGGCGCTAGTGTCGATGAAATTTTGTTTCTATTATTTTAGGGTTAATTTCTTGAATTTTGCTTTACTTTTTGGTTATATAACTAGGGGACAAGTTATTGTTTATGATTAGATTGTATTATTTGGTTAAACGAGGTTTTAAATGACTGTAATAATGGGAAACAAATTGTAAACAAAACACGACCTCTACATAAACCGTACAAAACTAACAATAAAGTTGTCTTCAGCTGTTTAGTTACATAACGATGAGAAATCTACTGAGGGAATATGTTTTATCTATGATATAATTTAGTAACCTAAGCCAGCCAAACATAAATTAAGCCTTACTTGGCACATCCTAACTTTTCTGTAGTATGGAACTTTTTTAAAATCTCTGTACAATCAGTTTACTTTTCAATATTAAAGAATTATAGGTTGGAGAGGACAAAGGTAACTATCCTGAAGAAAGGTTGCAGACGAGTCACGGCACAAATAAATTATATACACACAAATAAGACATCTGATTTTTAACTGGTGTCTTTGTAACTGCCATATCTACTTCTGAAGAAGCCTAACTTATCAATATTAATCATTGATTTAGATACTGCTGATGATATTCCTCTAACATTTGCCATGTTGCTTTTTCTGCAGATGAAATGCATGAGAAGAAAGAGTAAAAACGGAGACACCATTCAAGTGCAACACCTCGCTTCTTTCATTCCGCATTTAAATTATTATCTAACCATTTGTTGTGATCATTAGGCAAGGCAAGTATGAATATGTGGCATTTAGACTAGTGTTTTTAACTGTTTTACAACTATTTTGTTCTTCAATTTAATTTAAGTTCATTGTATACATGATTTTAAGATTTTAATTTAATTTAAGTAAATGAACATTAACTCCCTTTTTTGTTTGATACTTTGATTATTTATTTGCTAAAAGCAACTCAAGATCCGTACATATAAAAACATCAATTATGATATTTATATGTATAGGCCTACTGCAATTAGGTAATGCATGTTTCTCTATATTAAGGCATTTCAAGAGAACAATATATCTACACTTTTTAACCTGTTTAAAAATATTAACATTATTGTTCTTGTGAGTTTAAGGGACTCAAATAATACAAAATGACACGACTTGGCCCCAATGGAAGATATGAATCAACAAAAGCCACAAACTTTAGCAGGAATGAGTAATTTTACATATGTTAAAAACCTAATTTTTTCTGTAAGCTTTGAACTATTTGTATTGTGATCACATTTACATAACAGTGGTAACAAAGACATTAAAAGCAATAAGAAATGGTCATTAACGAATGCCCAATGACAAATAAATGGCAACTAAGTCCTGAATCGATCTTTCTAAACACCACCTTCATTGTTGAGTTTTAATTTGTAGTATTATTGTAACATGTCAACAATTTATCTTGTACTTAAGTTTTAAATTGAATACCTATTTGATTGTTTACCATACTATTAGGTTGTAATAGTAGAACCTCTCTTAACTGTAGTTCAAAATAGTTTTGCTGTTTTATAGAAGGTAGCTTAAGTTAACTAAGCTACATTAACACGCTGTGTGCGGCCGTTCCCAATCGGGTACGGTACTTGGCCCCCGTAAGATGCGGGGTAATTGAAAGTTAAAGTTGCTTGACCGGGAATGCTCGGCAATGCTTTTCGTATATCTTTGTTTTTGCTCTAGCGTCGGTTGAAGGCAAATCTATACCACGTTAGCGTGTAGTGTGTGACTTGCTTTTTGTTGTGGTGTAGGTTGGCAGTAAATTTCCCCGTAAAATCCCCATCTGGCAAGCTTAAAAATCAATTGTTTGTCCCGTCTTTCTCCCTCCAATTGGGAATACAATGGGACCGGCTATGTTCCAAGCAGTGATGCTATCTGTGGGTGTTTTAGCGAACTACGTTGACTCTCTTCGTAAAGTAGGACATCACCGTACGTTATTTGCTATTCCTCAGACCAAAATTTGAAAGCCAATCACCTGGCAATCCGGTTTGTTCGACGCTGCGGGCTGCGGCGCAATGGGGCTACACCTGCCATCTGATGGACCGCAGCGAACGTGTTAAGTCATTTCTAAAATCACTGCTGTACATTATTTTCCTCATTATAGAATGAATAGACTCCGGATTGCGAAGAATAACTAATAATAGTGGTTTAAATACCTGATTCTGGCAATCCAATTGTTGTATTCCACAACTAGTTTCGACCTCCTATCATCAAGGATGATTACTTCACATGAAGGTCGTCAGGATTAAAAATTTTTGACACATACACAAACTCAAACACATAGCGCATACACACATACAGCCGATAAAATAAAATTGTAAACACGAGCGAACCGGTGTCGGTAATGCTAATGCGGAAGTTTGGTCTAGACATTTCTCGTCTAGAGGTCTAAAGATGATGACCTCTTAGCAGGTCGAAACTAATTGTGGAATACAACAATTGGATTCAGGTATTTAAATCACTATTGTTAGTGTATATTATGGCTAAAGTGACACATTTTGCCCTAAAATTTAACTGGATCAATATGTACTAACTTCACTAAATTACTTATAGGTTATAGTGTTTTTTTCCAGCTAAGAGAGGGATCTACTGAGTTTAATTTATTGTGACTGTGCATTAATGTGTCTTATTTTTAAGAGCATGTTTTAGTTTTAAAATATAGATTTTGTGTAACAACTGTACATTCATACGACAATATAAAAGTACAACCTGTAAATAATTTTGAGCTTAACTACTTAGAACAAATACTTGTTATACAATGTATAGAATTGTAACTCCCACTTGTATGTGTAGTTTGGTACTGTTATTAAACTTATAATCTTTACATGGTTGTCTTTTTACCAAGTGTATAAGATGTGTTCAATTAGTGAGTGTGATCTTACTAATATTATAAATGTGAAAGTTTGTGTGTTTGTTTGTTTGTTTGAAGTTCAATCACGCATTAACTATTGGGCGGATTGGGCTGAAATTTGGCATGAAGATAGCTCACATTCTCGATTAACATATAGGCATATTCTTATCTCAAAAATCCTTTCGGGCTCTGCCCCAGTGGCTCTGTAGTTCCCCATGTTAACCTTATGAGTATTCCTATTTAAAGGGAATTAAAGAATTTAGTCAGCTGTTTCGACATAAAAAGTTGGTTCTATAATATGCAAAAGCATTAAAAAGTTATAAGATTTCCCAACAGGGTGCAGCACTACATTTTTTGCATTTATGAAAACAGCTAATTTGAATTAAGCAGCAACAAAAAACTGTGCTAGGCAATGAGAACTGTCAAAGTATGATTGTTTACAGTTATGTTTATGTTTTTAATTTCATGAATAATTTGTGATATTTTGGCGAATCTTTGATAATTTATTTTTCTCTATTATTTAGGTAAAGTGGTAGAAAATTATGGCTATGATAGATGTGTAATACTATAGAATACTGTAAATTTAAAGAAGCAAATTTGATCAAACTGTGTCCTCCCTCATTGCAAACGCAAAGCTTAAGTATAACTGCAATAAGCATTTTATACTGATATGCCAACCCCGTACGAAGGACGGGTATTCTGCTAGTGTTTCTATAAAACCGTTACACCGTATCACTAACTAAAAATGATCAACTGATTCTTCATTGTAACTTTTCATCTAACCTTGATGCCTGATTTTAAGGATGGGGGAATTTTGTAAAACACACGATTATAGCAAATAATTGATTTTTAATAGTTAGTATAGAGAGAGGTCTTAACCTAAATTAATTATATTAACAGTCCGTTGCAAGATGATAAAAATAAAATAAAATGGGCTATAGGTCGTCATCTGAGTCATCCAAGGCAGCTCTCCGTCTGTCAAACTGAAACACAACAGACAAATAATAATACAGCTGTCTATAGACAGGATCATTCCAGGTAGTTCCAGTACATTTTAAGTTGGGGGCTGCGGTTCATCGATAATCTCGGGTTGAGTCAGGCCAACAGCTAGCCAAGGGATTGCTCAGCACCAGAAACAGTTTTTGGGCCAAGCTGTTTGAGATAAAGCTTTTATTTTTTTGATTGAAGAAAGTATCTGCAAAGATGTGCGAACAAAAATTTACGGTTTTGCCACAATTGGGAGAGACAATAATGATGTCTCCACGATTGCTGAAGATGTTCATGATTCTCGATGATTGCAGGAGATGATGCACAATATTGTAAACTAACTGTAGTATAACAATTACATTTTCTTTAAATCAATTGGTCAACTTTTCAACCGTTTTGGCCTAAGACTCAAAGATTTTGGAACCACTTACAGTAAATAAGATGGAATGTTAGTTTTCACCCACCTTCACTGTTGTTTTTGCCTGTGACATTTTCTCGTTGACTTGCTCCAAGATACCAATGAGTTCATTCTCCCCAAGCCGTCCCATCAACTGTCCACGTTGGGCCATCTGCAGTAGCATGTTCTCCACCATACGACCCTTCTCTGGCTTTCCCACCATAAGAGTGTTCACTGCAACATGTCATATCCAGCATAAACAAACCCCCAAAAACCTACATATCACATATATGTATCCAAACCATATCTAGGTAGTCTCTGGAAGTAAGAGCATGCACAAAGTTACAAAACTGGTCCCTTTATAAAAATCAAATCATGTTTATTGATAATATAACGATAGTATCTAGTTTAAAATTGAATAACAGGATTTAAATAATTTAATAATAAAACATCTCCGTAAAAAATATAAATGTACAACACATTTATGGTAGTCAATAAAATAGTCTTAAGATTGCATAACAAAAAAATAAAATCTATGTAACATCTATAAATCACAAATGGATAAGTAGGTTTATGCTATACAAAGTCACAATCACAAACAATGAATTTTAAACAAAAACGTTTATGAATTCAAAAGAACAAAAGTTTGAAATAGGTCAAATTACTTACATCTTGCTCTTGCTGATTGGTCCAAAACTTGGCTTAGAATAGAATTTTTCATCTCTTCTGTCTCCCTTTTCCTCTCCTCCGCTGCTTTTTGGCTTGGACCTCCATCTCCTCCCTTGAACACAAATTTTTTTTAAAGAAAGGTCCACTTGACAGAAATAGATTTACCAAAATAGGAAGAATTTACAAAAAAAATTGTTTATCTTGCACTTGTCCAGTCAGTTCTGAGCTATGGGATAGTTCTGTGGAGATATATAGCTTCTATATCAATGATATTCTTGTTGTTTGAAAACAAATTATTAGAATTATTAACAAAGACCAAAAAGAACATTGTAAATCATTATTTATTAACATTAACGCTATAACTGTGGTAAACCCTACTTATAACGTATTGTTAGTTTAAGTTATCATATCTAGTTTTAAGTTGCATCAAAATATTTTGCTTTAATGGGTGATTTTCATTGCTTTGGTAGGAAAAAGATACAATTTTGCTATTTTATTCACAAGAGTTGAAAATATTTAAAAGAAGCCATTTCATAATATGTAAAAAGTTTCTGAACAAGCTACGCCTAATTTAAGAATGCCCAACTCCCTTAACCCTCCGAGCGTCACTCGTCGAAAAATCGACTCACAACACATTTTGTGTAGTGTCAAAATGTGTTGATTTTTCGACACACGAACATCGTTTACGGCGAAGGCTCTATGACTGACTGAATCGGATTGAACTGGATCGAGTTAGGTATCGTTCTTTTCGTTAGATTCTAAGCTTTCTCCAGAGGTCTGTCTCTAAGCGCTTTATGTTCTCCGAGCCGATCGTAATTGTAGCAGACAGCTGACGTGCGTATTTGTAAACAGCTAGGTTACCCTCGGACCAATGACTGATGTGTTTTATTACGTTTATCATTGTTTTAGTGTTAAAAATCAAAAGTAGTGATACACGTGGTGCATTATAAGAAGATTTAAGTGATTTTGAAGGGCTGGTTGATGATCCTGAAGAAGTAGGTAGTGATATTGATGTAAATTATCAGCCAGATTCATAGCTATGGTTAGGCTATGCATTCTTAGCTAAACGCTATGTACTGAAATCTGTTTTTTGCCCATAACTTAATTATTTGCAAATCTACTTCCTTATATTACTATATATTTGTAATCCTCATAAAATTTAGAACAAAGTGGCTATTTTCAAATATTTATACGCCTATAATTTATACAATTTCATTGAGCGCAAACTTATTTTTTTTTTGAAAATTTTCCAAAATATTTTTTTTTACCTAAAAAATTTTTTTGAAACAAATGTTCCTTATGTTTTATGTATAATATTGTAGCCCATGATTTTCCAAACAAAATGGTATATAGAACAGTAGAATTAACATTGTTTTAAGCTTCTCAGATCCATTTTAATAAAACCTTGCAAATGCGCCAAAAATAGGCGGACATTAAGGCCTAAACTATGGACACTCGGAGGGTTAAGTTGGTAAAATCGGATTGAACTGGATCGAGTTAGGTATCGTTTTATTTGGCAGATTCAGAGCTTTCTCCGGAGGTCTGTCTCTAAGCGCTGTTCATTTTAGTTCCGAAAATATTGTAGCAGACAGCTGACGTGTATATTTGTAAACAGCTTGGTTAATCTCGCACCGATGACTGATGTGTTTTATTACGTTTATCATTGTTTTAGTGTTAAAAATCAAAAGTAGTGATATACATGGTTCATTATAAGAAGATTTAAGTGATTTTAAAGGGCTGGTTGATGATCCTGAAGAAGTAGGTAGTGATATTGATGTAAATTATCAGCCAGATTCCTAGCTATGGTTAGGCTATGCATTCTTAGCTAAACGCTATGTACTGAAATCAGTTTTTTGCCCATAACTTAATTATTTGCAAATCTACTTCCTTATATTACTATATATTTGTAATCCTCATAAAATTTAGAACAAAGTGGCTGTACATCTTTTATTAGAATTTTTGGCATTTATAATTTTTTTTATAGAGGCTATGCATTCTTAGCTAAACGCTATGTACTGAAATCTGTTTTTTGCCCATAACTTATTTATTTGCAAATCTACTTCCTTATATTACTATATATTTGTAATCCTCATAAAATTTAGAACAAAGTGGCTATTTTCAAATATTTATACGCCTATAATTTATACAATTTCATTGAGCGCAAACTTATTTTTTTTTTTGAAAAATTTTCCAAAATATTTTTTTTACCTAAAAAAATTTTTTGAAACAAATGTTTCTTAGGTTTTATGTATAATATTGAAGCCCATGATTTTCCAAACAAAATGGTATATAGAACAGTATAATTAACATTGTTTTCAAGCTTCTCAGATCCGTTTTAATAAAACCTTGCAAATGAGCAAAACATAGGCAGACATTAAGGCCAAAACAAGGGACACTCGGAGGGTTAAGGTTGGATATGATTTTTTTTAAAAACCTCTGTAAAGTTCGGAAATCTCGGAACGGCATTTTAAAAAACCTGTCTTAGATCAAAAACTATAAAAAGTAAGTAAGTTAGAACAACCAGAGTCATACCAAAATAATCATAATAAACCCAGCTTTCAATAGAAGTATCAAAGTACATAGAGGATACGCGTCCGGTAACCGGACGTGGATAAGGCGTACGGCAATGACGTCATGGGGTTGCGGGAGCCTGGAACGCCTTTACCACAACAATACAATGACCAGCCATCGGTGTTCGTGGTGTAGTGGATAAGGTGATCGGCTGATATGCAAGAGGTCCAGGGTTCGAATCCCATTGATGACTTTAACTTTTTGTCGAAGAGTTTGCATTGAATACCATTTATTCTTAACTGTACATCTTTTATTAGAATTTTTGGCATTTATAATTTTTTTTATAGAGAAAGAATTTCACCTTAATTCAATTTTTTCACTATCATCAAGTTTGGTTGGTTAGGTTAGGTTATGACAGTAATTGCCGGACGTCTAATCCACGTCCGGTTACCGGACGCGTATCCTCTGCCATCAAAGTAACCCCTTTAACCAGTGGTTACATTGTGACAAGGCATTTAAGTTCATTACAAAGTAGCCCCATAGCGGGGCTACTTTGATAGCCACAATTTTTTTTCCCCCAAAGTATTTAATATAGATTTTTTTCAAATGTAGCACTCAAAAGAACTAAATGAAATGCACAATTTGGAATTTTTCTCATGGTCCTATCTCTTAAAACAAAAAAGTTACAGCAAAAAATCAATAAAAGTTTTACAAAGTAGCCCCGTTTGAAGGTATCTTATATAAGTTTAGATTATTTCATTCGATAAGTTATCGGTATCTATATCAAGTTTGGTTAGTTTAACCCTTTCATTCGGTTGTTGTTGGCCCCATTTATGACCCACCCACGTAAATAAACATTAATAACATAACTTAGGGGCAAAAATTTATGATTTGGGTCAAAAAATCAACGTGCAATAAATATCTTTCCTGTAACTTACCACAAAAATCTATGTTTGAAACGATAATCATCAATGTTTCAAAAACATCAATAGGCATTTATTTGCCATTGCTACTTGAATGCCATTTCCTGCTCCTGCCTGTTTCTACATAGGCTAGGCCTACTGTAAACGATTTATTTTTGCCATTATTTAGCCTTATTGCATGTTGTGAACAGGCAAGAGCAGGAAATTGCATTCATTCAAGGAACAAAGAGTTGGGAAATTCTAAACAGCCATTCATAACTTACAATTAATTAATTTATTTTCATTTAATAATATTAGGGGCCTAGGCCTAGGCCTGTTAAATTGTTGTGGTATTATCTACACATTTTCATTGTTAATATTTCTAATGAATTAACATGGGTAACGAATCAGAAGTTAATTTAGGCAAAATGTTGCACTATCTAAAAAGTTCATTTTTAATACCTGAATTCCTCTTTCAGCTTGTAACTGGGCTAACCTCTGAGCTCTCAATGCTTCTAACTCGGGGTCGGCCATTTTTCTTTTCAATGAGCTTTTTTTTGGTATTTTCTATTTTTATTCTGAATCCATCCCAAACTATATATCACATGGAGTAAAAAAGGTCTGCAATATAAACTGTTTAGTAAAAAAAAAATACAAAGGTGGCCGTGGGGTCTGACTTAGGGGAGGTACAAATGAGGCATTTAGTTCAAAATTCCTCCGTGAACAGCGCTGTAGTAGAGAGCACTTTGGCAATAAAGGTTTACTAATCGCAAAAATAGTTCTGTTCATAAAATAAAATTATAAATGCCTCAAATTCAATTTTACTATTTTTAATTATAAAATTAAACTATCATAACCTAACCCTAAGAAATAATATAACAAAAGTTTAGTAATCGGAAAAATAATTCTGTTTATTAAATAAAACTAGAAATTGCTCAATTACAATTTTATAATGACTTAATAATAAAATTAAACTGTAATAACCAAACCAAACCAACCAAACTTGCTGATAATAAAAAAAATCTTGGACAAAAAGTTAATGCTACTAGCGGGATTCGAACCCGGGACCTACAGTATACCAGCCCGGCACGCTAACCATTAGACCACCGAGGCCGATGGGCACAATTTTTATTTCAGCTGCAGTTATTTTAATAAGAACAAAATGAGAGCATTCTATTGGCTGAGGGAACACCATTAGCGCAATGAAACGAAATGAAGCCATCGGCCTCGGTGGTCAAGTGGATAGCGTGCCGGGCTTCGAAACTTATGGTACCAGGTTCGAAACCCATCGTGGGCACAAACTTTTTGTCTAAGATTTTTGCATTTTCAACAAGTTTGGTTAGTTTGGTTAGGTTATAACAGTTAAATTTTATAATTAAAACCTCATAAAATTGAATTTGAGCTAACTTATTTATAGTTTTATTTTATGAACAGAACTTTTTTTCGATTAGTAAACCTTCATTCAATTTTTTCATTATCAGCAAGTTTGGTTAGTTTGGTTAGGTTATCACAGTTTAATTTTATAATTAAAAAATATAAAATTTAATTTGAGGCATTTATAGTTTTATTTTATGAACAGAATTATTTTTTCTATTAGTAAACCTTCATTCAATTTTGTCATTATCAGCAAGTTTGGTTAGTTAGGTTAGGTTATGACAGTTTAATTAAAAAATTGGTAATTATATCGACCTCCGGACCTCACGCGAAATTAAAAATTTTTTTTCCCTAAATGTTTGAAATTTCACGCTGATTTCAAAAATGATTGTCGTTTTTTTCGGAAACGTCCCGTTTTCCCGGAAAATGGGAAAAACGGGAAAAACATTTTTTTGCTCAAAACCCATGTTGTGGGCACTCAAATTGTGCGGAATTTCCTCCTGAACAAGAATATGTAAATTTTATTACGATCGGACCACTATTAAGTAAAATATCACCGAAAAACGGGAAAACGGGGAAATTTTTCTTTGCTCAAAACCCATGTTGTAGGTACTCAAATTGTGCGGAATTTCATCCTGAACAAGAATATGTAGTTTTTATTACTATCGCTTTTAAGTAAAACATCACCGGACAGGTTACCTAACCTAACATAACCTAACTTAGGTTTAGATTAGGTTAGGTTAAGTTAGGTTAGGTTAGTTTGGTTTAGGTTAGGTTGAGTTTCGTTAGGTTAGGTTAGGTTAAGTTTGGTTAGGTTAGGTTGGTTTAGGTTAGGTTGAGTTTCGTTAGGTTAGGTTAAGTTTGGTTAGGTTAGGTTAAGTTATGTTAGGTTAGTTTAGGTTAGGTTAGGATAGGTTAGTTTAGGTTAGGTTAAGTTAGGTTAGGTTAGTTTGGTTTAGGTTAGGTTGAGTTTCGTTAGGTTAGGTTAGGTTAAGTTTGGTTAGGTTAGGTTGGTTTAGCTTAGGTTGAGTTTCGTTAGGTTAGGTTAAGTTTGGTTAGGTTAAGTTAGGTTAGGTTAGTTTAGGTTAGGGTTGGTTAGGTTGAGTTTTGTTAGGTTAGGTTAAGTTTGCTTAGGTTAGGTTAGTGTAACCTAACTTAACCTAACCTAACTTGGGAACTAAGTTAAGTTAGGTAAGTTTATCAATAACATGAGTATTGTAAGTAAACTAACCTAAACTAACCTAACCAAACCAAACTTAACCTAAGCTAACCTAACCTAAACTAACCTACCCTAACCTAACCTAAATTAGGTTAGGTTGGGTTAGTTTATCAATAACATGAGTATTGTAAGTAAACTAACCTAAACTAACCAAACCTAACCAAACTTAACCTTACCTAACCTAACGAAACTCAACCTAACCTAAACCAACCTAACCTAACTTAACTAACCTAACCTAAACTAACCTAACTTAACCTAACCTAACCAAACTTAACCTATCCTAACGAAACTCAACCTAACCTAAACCAACCTAACTTAACCTAACCTAAACTAAACTATCCTAACCTAACCTAATCTAAACCTAAGTTAGGTTATGTTAGGTTGGGTAACCTGTCCAGTGATGGTTTACTTAAAAGCGATCGTAATAAAAACTACATATTCTTGTTCAGGATGAAATTCCGCACAATTTGAGCGCCCACAACATGGGTTTTGAGCAAAAAAATATTTTTCCCGTTTTTCCCATTTTCCGGGAAAACGGGACGTTTCCGAAAAAAACGACAATCATTTTTGAAATCAGCGTGAAATTTCAAACATTTAGGGAAAAAAAAATTTTAATTTCGCGTGAGGTCCGGAGGTCGATATAATTACCAGAAAGGTAACTACCTATATATTTTTTTTTTAGTTTTAGGCCTACAATAATTTTTTTAATTTCTAATTTTTAAACTCTCATTTTGTCCGTATTAAAAAACTGCAGCTGAATTAAAAATCGTGCGGCCGATGGCTACCGAACGTTTTGTTACGGTAAAGGCGTTCCCTCAGCTAATAAGAAGCCCTCAGCTGTCATCGTAGCCTCTTCTATACCTCCCCTGAGTAAATACCGTGGCCGTGCCGTCAAATGGGGAAGCGTGTCATAGTGCATAATCCCACACTGCCTAATTCACAATTGTTTCATAGTGCCTAAGCACGAAAACGTCATAGCGCATAATCTCATGGTAAAACCATATATAAAACATACTCCCTTAGTAGATTATATGGAACACTTGAGGCAAATTTTATTGTTAGTTCTGTCATAGATGTATTTTGTTATTTCACTAATTTAAAACCCGGTTTAACCAAATTAAACGATATGATGATAAAATTAAACTCCCCTAGTTATTTAACCAAACAGTACAGCACTTGAGGGGAAATTAACAATTAACCCTCAAATAAAGAAATAATAGAAACAAACTTTCTCGATACTAGTGATCAGAGTCTCCGGACATGAGGTAAATTAGAACTAGAAAATAATTCAACATCGAAAATACTGAGTTTAATTAAAAAACTAGTTATAAATTATGGGGCGATAAGCTTTTTAGACACTATTTTACTAGCATTTATGGGACAGATTAAATAAAGATTTCTTTAATCATTCGTATATATAGACTATTGATTATATAATCGGTTCTTACTCTTTTTTTCTGGCATTAACGAAGCTTGAAGCTTGTCTTTGATTCTAGCTGAACAGCTGAACAGCTGAACTGAACACACGTTGATGAAGAGAAGAGAAGAGACATGTTGTCACGTTGTGTTCTTGTAAACATAACCTTACTATACTACTTGTTTCCTTGTTTGTGCTTAGTGCTTTCCTTCTAAAAAGTTGAGGTTAAAGATGTTGGTGTTATCATGATCTTAGTTATATATAAACGAACCACGTGCCTTGTCAGTGTTTAAAGTGATTTAGTATTTTTCTACTTTTGTCAATCCTTTTGTAAAAACTATTTACAAGAGTTCCACTTCCAAGCAAATGAAATGATTGATGATAACTTATAAACTATTTTAGCAGGGCCTAAGTTTAGAAAATGGCTACAGAAAAACCACGTAAGTTTAAAAAGCGCAGACATTTTTCATCCATTCAAAATTTGTCTTTTGGTGTCTTTACTGATGAAGAAATCAAGAAACTAAGTGTGGTCAAACTGAGTACACCCTTAACATTTACTCAACTTGGTCACACACTACCTGGAGGATTGTATGATCCAGCTTTGGGTCCATCACAGCCTGGAATACTATGCACTACATGTTCGAACAATGTATTTAAGTGTCCTGGCCATATGGGACATATAGAACTGCCATTACCAGTAGTGAATCCATTATTCCATAACACAGTAATTACGTTTATGACTTCTTCATGTCTCAGCTGCCACAAAATTCTTCTGCCAGAAGCACGCAAACATCTCCTTGTGGCCCAGCTCCAGTTACTTGATAAAGGCTATGTAACAGATGCTTTGGATATTGAGCAATTGTTTATTCAGATGTCAAATGCTAATGAAGGTTTGAGTGACGAAGGGTTTGGTGCTTTAGTCTCATCACAACTTGACAAAGAAATAGACACAATTATGAAAGAAAAGGTTAGAACAGTAGATGATTGGAAACAAGCCGAAATTATGAGAGCACGTTTTATAAATAGCATCAAACAATATGTGTTCAAGGGGAAATCGTGTCCAAAATGTAAAGAACCATATAGGAGACTTAAATCGTTGAGAAATAGGTTAATGATGGAAGCAAAACTTGAGGTGGCAAGTAAATTTAAAGACAAATTGAAGAAGAAGGGCACATCTGAAATGACACCAGTTTTACGAGAAGGTGGCTGGGTGTATATTTTACCCTCTGATTCAAAGAATCATTTGCGAGAGCTTTGGTTTAACGAGGGCTTCTTTATGAAGGAGATAGTGCCAGTTTTAAAAAGTATTTCAGAGCCCCATCCAACAGACTTATTTTTTATGACTGTTGTTCCAGTCACACCAATTAATACCAGACCAGTAAACTTCCGTGATGGTACTGTTGTTGAACATCCTCAGAATCATGTTTATAAATCAGTTTTGCAAGATTGTCTTGTGATTAGAAGTGTTATTCATCTGATGAACAAAAAGGAAGAAACTGGACCTGAAGATGACGTTTTATCTAATGAACGAATCAGAGTAATTAATCAGTTGAAGGGGTCTAATCTTTCTGAGAAACTTCAATTGGCGTGGCAAGATTTGCAGAAACATTGTGATGTGTTACTTGATAAAAATATGGGATTTGGTGGTTCAACTCCCACAGAGGGACAAGGCCTTAAACAATTACTTGAAAGGAAAGAAGGAATCATACGGATGCACATGATGGGCAAACGTGTAAATTTTGCTGCCAGGTCTGTAATAACTCCTGATCCAAATCTAAATATTGATGAAATAGGAATCCCTGAAATGTTTGCTATGAAATTGACATACCCTGTTCCTGTCACACCATGGAATGTCAAAGAACTGCGTAAAATGGTAATGAATGGACCGGACGTTCATCCGGGTGCAGTTTTGATTGAGAATGAAGATGGTTTTATAACTAGGATCCCATCTGGTGATAACAGTGTTAATAGAGAAGGCATTGCTAAGACTCTACTTACCCCTGATGAAGCTGGCACTTCTAAAGGTGTTAAGATCATACACCGTCATCTGCTCAATGGTGATATATTACTCCTTAACAGACAACCAACATTGCACAGGCCGAGTATAATGGGACATAGAGCCAGAATATTAAAAGGGGATAAAACTCTGCGACTGCACTATGCAAATTGTAAAGCTTATAATGCAGATTTTGATGGGGATGAAATGAATGCCCATTTTCCACAGAGCGAATTGGGAAGGAGTGAAGCCTATAATTTAGTAAGTGTTTGTAAACAGTACTTGGTTCCTAAAGATGGCACACCTTTAAGTGGACTCATACAAGATCATGTAATATCTGGAGTGCGACTGACAATTCGGGGCTCTTTTTTCACTCGAGAAGAATACATGAATTTAGTGTTCAAAGCGCTGTCATCCATTCAAGGTGACATTGTAACAGTGCCTCCTGCTCTTCTAAAGCCTCAAAGACTATGGTCAGGTAAACAGATTATTTCCACCATAATCATCAATCTGATTCCTAAAGGAAAGATGCCACTGAATCTTACATCCTCTGCTAAAATTGGTTACAAAGCATGGGAGAAAGGTCCTTCAAGGCCTTGGGTAGCAGGTGGAACACCATTTTCAGATCCCAAGACGATGTCTGAAGCTGAAGTAATCATTAGAGGAGGAGAACTTCTGTGTGGTGTTCTTGACAAAACTCACTATGGTGCCACACCGTACAGTTTGGTCCATTGTATGTATGAACTATATGGAGGACAAGTGTCTAGTCATCTTTTGAGTTCATTTGCTAAACTGTTCACAGCATTTCTGCAGATAGAAGGCTTTACGCTCGGTGTGGAAGATATTCTAGTAGTGAAGAAAGCAGACAAAGAGAGACTAAAACACATCAAAGCATTGAAAAAGGTGGGAAGTGAAGTAGCTGCCAAAGCGTTAGATCTACCCGAAGACACAGCTGTTGAAGAATTGAAGGAGAAGATTGGATTTGCATACAGAAAAGACCCGAAATTCCGCGGATTATTAGATCATCAATACAAGAAATGTCTGGATACGTACACCAACAACATCAACAAAGCTTGTCTTCCATCAGGGTTGCTACAGCTTTTTCCAGACAACAATTTGCAGCTCATGGTTCAGTCAGGGGCCAAGGGTTCCACTGTAAATACTATGCAAATCTCATGCCTCTTGGGGCAAATTGAATTGGAAGGAAAACGTCCTCCCATTATGCTCTCTGGAAGATCTTTGCCTAGTTTTCCTCCTTATGAGTTGTCTCCTAGGGCCGGTGGTTTTATCGACGGACGATTTATGACTGGGATTCAACCTCAGGAATTCTTTTTCCATTGTATGGCAGGACGTGAGGGCCTAATTGATACAGCAGTAAAGACAAGTCGTAGTGGATATCTCCAGCGGTGCTTGGTCAAACATCTTGAAGGTTTGACAGTCAATTATGACTTGACTGTACGTGACAGTGACAACTCCATCGTTCAGTTCCGCTACGGAGAAGACGCCATGGAAGTGATGAAGTCACAGTTTCTCAATAAAGAGCAGATATCGTTTTTAGCTGATAACGTCCAGAATGTTCTAGATAAAAAAATTGTTGATCAACTGAAAAATCATGGAAACAACTCTGTTATTGAAAAACATAACAAGAAGATGAAAACATGGAAGAAGAAACATCAAGCAGATCCAAAACTGAGGAGTGGTTTTACTTTGTTTTCTCAGGAAATTAGTCCCCAACAATCAGATAAAAGTCACAAGAAAGTAAGCAAAAGATCTGGCCGAAGTAAAGCAGCGTCAAAAATCTGTAAAATGTGGCATGAATTGGATGAAGAATCAAAAATGAGGTAGGTAGATTGAGCAAGATGATTTAATATTAGTTTATACTATCCTTTACTTTAAGACATCCTAAAAATAATACAACTTCGACAAAGAAAAATAAAAAAAGTGTGTTCCTAGTAGTGATTAGCCTAAAGTTTAAAACTCCAAGCTTTCTGGAAGAAGACATAGGCTAGGCCTAAATTTAAAATTAGTAAAACTTTTCAAATAGGCCAATGTTTTAGCCTATTTATTTAATTTTTTTTCTTCAACAAAATAACTGGAATTTGTCACAGGTTTGGTGGCTGTACAGTAGACTCCCTCTTATCCGGACTCCTCGGGACCAAGGCCAGTCCGGATAACGGTTTTTCAGGTTAAGCCGACGTCCCCAAAAACTCATTAAAATGGACCGCTTACGGTGATATTCGACTTAAATTTAGGAGAGCATTGTATTCAGACATGTGATCACTGGTCTCAAATCTTTCCCACGAGAACAGTCGTTACAGTACCACCCACTTCCTGCCGATCTAGTCCGGTTAAACCAATGTGCTGATAAAAATTGTCCGGTTAAAGAGATGTCATATACGTCGAGTGTAGTCCAGTTAAACCGACGTCCGGTTAAAAGGTGTCCGGATAAGAGGGAGTCTACTGTACTCAATTCCATGTGAATGTGGAACATGTAGGCCTAACAAACATTAAGTCTGCGCATTTAATTTTTTTGTTATTTGACAAAAATTAAATTTATGTTTTCCTTTTATAATGTATATATCCGTATACACGTAAACTGCAGTGCACATACAGGGTTTAGTAGCCTACCTATCTTTTATCCAAACATCTTGAAAAAATCATAAAAATGTGTTAATCAATTTAGTGCTTTATTAAAACTAATATCATGAGCATTTCAAACCGTATAGTTGTTTCAAAATAATATGATTAAATACTTTAATACCTTTCATTGAAATGGCGACCATACAAAGTAGGTATTTTAAGCCAAGTATGAATGGAGATGAGTGTAGGATTACTCTGGTAGAGCAAAAATTTTAACTCTCTGTCTATAGTCTACCTTCCCTGTGCAGTAAAGGTATAACAGTAGATAGCCATGCTATTAGTAAATTTTGGGGAGCATCATGTTTTCATGCAGGCTCGGTCTACTATAAATGCGACCCTTATAAAACCGGCCTAAGTGCATTTGACTTATTTCTGTCGCCTTTTGCTTCTTATATATTATTATTTTATTTTTTATTATTTATTATTATTATTATATTGTATTTTGGATTTTAACTTTTGTAAAGTTCAAAACTAAGTAGTACAAAAAGAATAAAAGGAGAGCAAAAAGTTGTGCAAGCCAAGTTGTTTTATGACATTCGCTGAAAATTATATAGGCCCTACAAAGCTCATGGATGCTCTGTGACACTGTAGGGATATTGAATGTGGAATGACTTACCGTAAGTTTAATCCAAATTTTATAGTTATCTTATCAATGGTTACATATTTTTATTCCAGGTATGAAAAGAAGGCCATGAAGTGTCCGGACCCAATAGCTTCTCAGCTTCAACCTGATGTTCATTTCCATGCAATCACAGAAAAACTGGAAACAATCATGAATGACTACTTAAACAAAAAGTAAGTACTGACACCCTAACTTATTTTCTTACATATTTTTCATGAAGCAGATCTGACTACTAATATCTCAAGTTTTTTCAGATAGATACTGATGAATTTCAATTCATATTACACTCTCAATTAAATCTTTTGACTGCAGCGCAGATGCCCTCTTAACTGGCCACCTCTCTGGCTAACTCGGTTCTCCAGATGCATTGCAACAAACTTAAGTTGTGCGTTTACTTAAAGCACAGATAAACTGTTAAGATAATCAGCGGGAAATAAGATTTCGTTTTTACTAAGTTACAACTTTCTGTTTCTACCAAATCATTCTACTAAACCTAGAAAATGCAATTTCAGCAACATAAGTGGACAGCTGAAGGATGACATAAAGGACATGATCAGTTTGAAGTCCAGTTTGTCAGTTTGTCCACCAGGAGAGCCAGTGGGCATGTTGGCAGCTCAGTCGGTCGGAGAGCCCTCCACTCAGATGACACTCAACACGTTCCACTTTGCGGGAAGAGGAGAAATGAACGTCACTTTAGGAATCCCTCGACTGCGAGAAATACTAATGGTAGCTTCCAAGAATATTAAAACACCAAGCATGGAGGTCCCCTTTCATCAGAACCTGCACAGGTAATAATATTGGTTTGGTTAAAATTGTTAAATAAGCTAGCGAGCGATAATCTTCCAGTATTATTTTTTTCCTATACTAACAAATGTAAGAGTGTTAATGCAAGTTAAATACCATTATATTTGGCCTGGTAGTTCCCAATTTACAAGGTTGCCATTTTAACGGAGTAACATAAGAAATCGGTATCTTTTTTACTAATAAGATTAAAACAGCAATAGACTGCTTAAGCTACTACCAGAATTAAACCCATCGTGCTAAAAAGTGAGAAGTACCTATAGGATTGTTTTTGCCATACAAAGTAGTTCAGTTCATATGCAATTGTGTACACTAGGCCTATTAAAAAATAAGCACTGGCAAATAACTAAAACCACATTAACTGATCATAAACAACTTAAAATGTTTGTAGGCTAGAAAGCAAGGCGGAAAAACTACGGAAGTCCATGACAAGAGTTACTCTCGCCGATGTGTTGGAGTATGTTGAAGTGAGGGAGCACCTAGACTACGAGGGTGTGTTTCGCAACTATACCTACAGAGTGCACTTCCAGTTCTTACCTCGGGCTGCATACAAACACGATACGGACATCAGGCCCAAACATGTCCTTAGGTACAGTCTTTGACATTATCATCATCAAAAACAGATTACTAGCTCAACCCTAAAACTAGGGAAAATACTTACACTCACATGTTTTCCCGCTGTAAAGTCTAAGGCGCATATAATTAATGTGTTATGGTCATTGTACAAATTGTAGCATAATTCAGCCTATAAGTAGAACAGTGAATGTCAACAACACTCCTTTTTATTCAATAAGAGTCAATTTGGTAAGTTGGGGACTCAGTTAGTAGCAAAACAGAATGTCAAGGCAGCAAGTGTCTGTTGTTTGAGTCTTGTCCTGTCGATTGAAACTTATCAGTAAAGTTTTTATTACTGTACCAGCTCACCCTTTGCTTTGCTTGAGACAGACCTTTAGAGGCCCGTGTGGATGGGTGATCCTACACAGGACAAAGACAGTGTAATGCTATGCACTTCTTGTTTTTTAGTTTTGTTGTCTTTTTTCTTAAATGTCTACTATAATATTCAGGCACGTGGAGCAAAAGTTTATCAGGGAGGTGGTGTCCAATGTGTACAAACGCAGCCGCATGAAGAAGGAGGTAGTTACTTCAGAGGCTGAGAAGGAAACAGTCGGTCGAACACGCAAGGGAAGAGGCGAGGACTATGAGGACGAAGATATTGACAATAAGGTGCCTAGCTTAACGTAATATAATTTTTGGAGGAAAGAGCACTTGGCTTACGAATCAACTAAGGGAGAAGGAATAGATACTCAACTAACCTACCCAAGAACAGAATTCCAGGCAGTTGATAGCACACAAAACGTTCACAACACAATTAGTTTTATATATTGCCCCTACAAGAAGGCTTCTTCCACAGAACTCTACTACTTCCTTCTGAAGAAGCCTATTTTTAGAGATGAAAAATCAAATTAAGTGTGAACTTTCAGTACTATCAACTGTCTGGAACTCCTTTCTCGGGTAGTCATTCCTTCTTTGTTGAGTTGTTAACTTTTCATGTGTTGTCACCTGTCTTGAACTCGTTCCTTCCGCAAGTTAGTTGTGTATTAGTTCCTTTTTACCTGATTTATATAATCTTCATCATACAATAGCCTACATAAAGAAAATTTCCAGTGTGGATTATTTAAAAATGAGTCATTGTTCAAGTCTCAGCTCTAAATGAGAATTTTTATTATCTCGCTTCTAGCAGTGGTGATTTGTAAAATTTCAACTTTCATATGTCTAAACCTAGAACACTCACTTTATCTGACAAATAGTACTTTCTATTAAAAACGCTACAAACAAGTTTGAGTATAACAGTGTCACAGACAGAATTTTATGACTAATTGTTACCTTTTCAGCTTTGTTGCAGATAACCATATTCAGAGCAGACTACTAAAACTTGTGTCAGCAGCTACTACCTACACTTACTGTTACAGTCCTGCTAGACAATGTTTAGTGGTCTGCTCACAAGATTATTGCCTGCAAAGATGCTGACACATAAACAACTAGTTATAAGATTCTTAATTTACAGACAGGTAACTGCAATCTTTTTTTGAGAGATATTGCATTGTTTGTTTTATATATATATATATATATATATATACATTGCTTCATATCAATTTAACATTTATTTGACAGGAGCCTGAACTCGCAGGAACGGCTGCGGGTGGGGACGAGAGTTCAGACAATGAGTCCGTGGCTGATGACGAAGACGCCACAGCTGAGAGACGGAGGTAATTTTGTAGAAATCAGTTTGTAATAATGTCTATGGACTTTTCTTTTAACCTGTTCTATAACTGACAATCTGAGTTTTTACAAATTAGTAATTTAATTAGCCCAACTGTTAAATTGTAATTTATTAAATAGTTATGTATTTGTCTTGAATATGTGGTGTATCCTTTGTTTAGCACATAAAACGTAATCATTCTATAGTCCCTGAAATTGAACTTGATTTTGAATATCAAACAAGAGTTTCAATTTTCAATACAAATAAATCATAAATATATTTTATTTTAAGACATATGCAATTCCTTTCTTGCATTGACTCAAAGTAGGATTAGTTCGTTGTCTATTAGAAAAATGTTACATTTTACATGTGTTACAGGATGCGGCAGCAGGAGGAGCAGGAGTACCAGGATCCTGAGGATGGGGAGGAGGGAGGCGAGTCAGAGGAGGAGGGGGAGAGAGACGGGGAGGGAGAGAATCAGGTGGTGGGAGAGGACGAGACAGAGGACAGGACTAGAGAGGTGTTACAGTCCAGCGACAGTATTCACAACTACAGGTGTGGCTGTTAAATGTAATTTTGGATAGATTTTGCAAGTAACGTGGCTTAAAACAGGCAAAAATGTGTAAAATAAAAAAAATTAAATATCAGTTACTATTGTATGATGCATTTCCATTCCACTCTAAATAACATAAAACAACGAATTCTTAGTGCATCAATACATTTTTTTTATTAAATAATTCTAAGGGTTCAATTTTATCCCTCTACTTACCCAAGCATGTAAATAAATGGTGGGTATATCGGCAACCAATCATAACAACAGATTTTGTTAAGAAACTAAATTGGTTAGGTAATTTATATGGACCCAATTTTATTTGAAAATTTGATTTATATAGATGAACATCAAATTGTAAATTTAAACAAGACTTATACTAACTTAAGAACTAAGTTTACCTTGTTCCCTAACAAATTCAGTGTTAGCCTGCTAACCTTTTATCTAAAGGCTGACTTTTTGGCCTCTTTAAAGAACGAGAACATCAGAACATTTAACAGGAACAAGTGTCTGGCACTACTATATAGCCACGCCAAAAACACGATACGCTCCAACAAAAAAATTTTTGCTCCAAAAAGATGTTTCCAAAAAAATATGTTGTGTGTTGTACACTACCCAGTACCACAGAAAACGTACTACTATAACCCAGAATGCCAACCGCATGGTAAAAAGCATTAAGTGTTTTTAGAGAGCTTTGCCTGTCAATCCGTAGGCAGCGCCACCAGCGTTGCTATGCTATTGCATGGCCACTTTTTACCATGTGGTTGGTATTCTGGGTTATAGTAGTACGTTTTCTGTGCCAGTACCCCTGGATAGGCCAATCACCGGAGAGTAGGTAGGCAAGATTTGAATTAGAATTATTATTCTTCAACGCCACGCTAGCAGCTAAGATGGTGTTTGCTGTGATAACCTATCATTTGGTGAATTCCCTCAGATGGTACGATCCTGGACAAATTACTCCAATGCTTGGTAATAACAAATTATAATTTTATTCTTCTAAATAATGGAAATCCTTTATAATCTTCCTTATAAATGTAGTATTACCATATCAGTAATTAAATAAGGCAACAGTCTTACTTGGTAAAATTCCTATGATCTGACTGGCTTAAATAGGCTGTGATTCCCAGGTCCTACGCACTATGACTGTTTCAAGTACAGTAGGCCTAATGCTTGAACTCGTATTTTCACGAGTTTGTACAATTTTAATGGGAATCAGCCAACTAAGAAAGATTGAAGAAACAGCTCATTACAAAAAAAGACTTTAGTTAATTAACAGCTGTTCTCCAGTTCTGCCAACAAGGTGAAGTGTAATATAGTCAAACTAGTTGGCCATTGATCATGATATTCTATGTACATTATATTCTGTGAATTAAAATAATTTAAATTTAATAAACATTTCCCTTACATCAGTATAGAGTGTTTAGTGGGCTAAGCATAGTATGCCTCATACAACGATATAGTGCCTCTGCAGAGCACCAAACGCGGGAAAGTAGTGTGTTACTTTACAAACACCAAACAGTCTACAGAGTACAGAATCAACAGAAATAACCGCTTCCCGACCATAACATCTACAACTATCATGTGGATTTATATGTCGTCTTAAACGCCAAAAAATAAAGCAGATAAATCTGTCGCCTGTTCGGGAAGGATGGTGAATGCATAGCATTTTAAGACTAGCAGGTGTTAAAGGGAGATGCATAACCTTAGGAAATGCTAGAACCTGTCATCAATGGCGTACCTACAGGGGGGTGGTGGGGGTGGGGGTCCGCCTCAGGCCTCTCACCAACATAGGCCCCCAAATCAGGGCCGTATTCCCCTGACAGCGGACATGGCGATTGCCGAAGGCCTTGGCCTAGGAAGGAGCCTCACAAATTTAATCGATAATCTGTTAGAATTACAACTGTCCGAGTTGAACTTGTATTATCACGATAGCTGAAAGCATCTGCAAAGATTGCACAATTGAAAATCACGATTCCCAGCGATCGCGGGTGACGTTAATTAGGTCTCGCAACCGCAAAAAATGTTCATGATTGCTCCGAGACCACAGAAACGTTCATGTTCATGGTTTTGCCACGATATTTGGAGACAAAGATCAAGATGATGTCCTTGAGATGTCACAAGATGTTCATTATTTCACCGTGAACTAGAATACGTTCACCATTCCTTTACGATCGCGGAAGATGCCCATGACCTTCACCACGAGCACAGAGGACACAACTATGAATTATGATAGTATGCCACTGCCTGTCATCTTATTGTAACTGTTTGTAATTATTGTATTATTATTATTAAGTGGTTAAGTTAGTGAGTCTATAGTTGTACGTATTGGCAGAACAACTGTTTAATTTCAATTAGCATTGTTTATTTTTCCGTGGTTGTTTGTTCCAGGTTTGACACAGAGGGTGAGCTGTGGTGTGAGGTGACACTTTGTCTCCCAGTCAAGCTTGGCCGAGTTGACTTGTCCAACCTGCTGCGGGAATTGGCTGCCAAATCTACAGTGGCTCAGGTAAGGTCAACGCACTCGCCAGTCGGCTCAGAGACGAGAAAGCAAGGTTCACAATAAAACTATGTCTTACTACTGTCATTATGTTTTAAAATTGACATCTAGCTGTCACATGATATACCTAATTTAACATTTTGGAGAAAGGTTTAAAAACAAAAACCATTAAAACATTGCTTTCTTAAAATAAATAAATTTACCTTCAAAGTATCAATGTTCCTAAATTAGGTTTAATTGGAAAGGGCTTATTGCCTGAGAATTGAGGAGACTAGGAACAGGATAAGCAGGCTTACCTTAACAATGTAGGCATCCCATTTCACTAAAGTAACACAAAAGAAAACGCTGAATATTTTTAAGGCCACTTGACCCTTTTTCAACATTGACAGTCGCTAGATTCTGAAAGTCCTTCACTGGTAAAGGAAGCAGTCTGTACTGTGATATTCAGTGTTTACTTTTTGTTTTCTTTTGCGTTACTTTAGTGCGATGCCTACAATTGTTAAGGTAAGCTTACTTACTTATCCTGTCCTTTATCCCCTTAATGAACCTAAATTATTGAAATTAAGGGTGTAGCATAGAGCATAAGGGCCGAGGTTTTTAGGATTTTTTGAGAAGATAGCAGGCTTACTTGAACGGGAAAGAGTCCAAACTGGCACAGGAAATACAAAACTTTAAGACTATATACACAAAACATTAGTATATATAGTTACACAACTATATATGTGTTTATATACATAAACACAACTATATACACAAAACATTTGTGCACATTTGAACATTTGTATTTTAGTTGTAAAGTTTTGTGTTTCCAGTGCAAGTTATGTATCCTCTAAAAAAATCCCAAAAACTTAATTTATTTATATTAGATGAGCCCACCATTTACCTGCACTAGCTAGTCTAACATATTTAGCTCACTTGTGTGTTCTGGCAGGTGGCAGGTATCCGACGGGCGTTCGTCTACACAGCAAACGACCGACTTATGTTCAAGACTGATGGAATCAACATGCCAGAAGTGTTCAAACACCACGACCTCCTCAACATCAACCAGCTCTACACCAATGACATTCACGCAATGGCACATACGTACGGCATAGAGGCGGCAAACAAAGTTGTTGTTAGGGAAATCCAGGATGTGTTTAAGGTCAGAGACTTGTCTGATTCGTAGTCATATGGACATGATGTGTTTTTAGCGAATTTCCCATATAGGGAATAAGCTATTACCGTAGTACTCATGGTAAGACCTGGACCCGAGACCGATTTAATTTTAACTTTTTACCTTCCCCGTAGCAGCAAACCTAAGCACTCGTTAAATCTAATGTTATTTAAATAGGGAATAATATGTCTTATTTATGGAAATATTTTAGTAAAAATGTAATCAGACGAGTTGAAATTCGCTTAGTCTGCAGGTTTGCTGTGGCGGGGGTATTTTTTTATTTTACTGTATTGGCATTAGGAATATGATATTAATGAGTTTTTTTTTTAGTTTGTATGTACTGAGTGTGAATTATCTGGGAAATTTTATAGTTGGTTCTCTTGTATTTTGTCACTCATTATTCTTTTCAACAAGTTTGCTGTCTTTGGCAAACAGGACACAGTTACTCACATAAATTAGCTTTATTTCATAGGCATACACATATTAATAATATACCAGTAAATAAATGTTATAGAATTGATCTCATATTCATGTTTAGGTACCAGTGTCAGGAGTTTAATAATTTCAGTGTTTGGTGATTATAAAAAGATATGATTTTTAAGTAAAATACTAGTATATTATTAGTCATATACCTAGAAAATTCATGTGCATTTATTTTACATAATTATTGACATAATATGTCAAATAAACACACATGAATTTTGTTGGTAGCTGACTAACAATACCTATTTGTATTTAACTTAAAAATCATATTTTTTATGAGCACCAAACACTGAAATTATTAAACTCCTGACACTGTCACCTAAACATGAATGTGAGATCAATTCTATAACATTTATTAACTGTTAATATTTAAGTCCAGTATTTATGGGGGAAATCGGCAGTTTGGGTTTTGTGTGATTACAATATGTTTAAACTCTTGTATGCACAGGTGTATGGTATCACTGTGGACCCCAGGCATCTGCTGCTGATTGCCGATTACATGACGTATGACGGCAGCTTCCAGCCACTCAACCGCACAGGCATCGAGGGAAGCAACTCACCACTGCAGCAGATGTCGTTTGAGTCCTCACTCAAGTTCCTGAAGAGTTCGGTGATAGGTACCCGTCGGGACAAGCTAGATTCACCGAGCGCTAGGATCATGCTTGGACAGCCCATGAAGTGTGGAACCTCAGCATTTGGTCTGGTTCATCAACTAAACCCTCAAGTGTCATCTACTTGATGAATCCTAATCTTGGGAATGAAACCTAAATATTTGTAATGGGTTTTTGGTGGACAGACTGTATATAGAAAGTTAGGTTTTAATTAAAGATTCTTTTATCAAAACAGGTTTTTCAAATTATTTATACCAAGGATGGCATTACTCATGTTTGAAAAAAGTATTCTCATTTTGATTTTTTGTAGAAAGAGATGGCATACTATGTATATTATAGCCCAACATTGGTTATTCAAATGGGTTTAATTCAGTTAGTATCTTTCAAAGTTATTGGGCCAAATTTCAACTATAACGGGTGGTCCATAATAACTGCTAACATTTTGTTTTGTGACAGCTCAGTTAATTCATGGTTGAGAAGGGAGAGATGATTTTTGCGTTAATTGGTTCCTTAATTAAAAGCAGTCTTTCGTCATACTGCAGCAAAAACAGCCGTTTTTAATGCATGCGTTGTGGCCTTTGTGGGTCTAAAGTAGCATTTTTACTCTCTTACTTACTTACTCTTACTCCTGTGGCCATTGGAAACCTAGGTGGTTTTTGGCCTCGCCAACCATGTGCCTCCAAGCTCTTCTATCCTCTGCCTGCTCCAAGTCTGCTCCCATTCCTCTCAAGTCCTTCGTCACCTCATCAACCCATCGCATTCTTGGTCTACCTAATGGTCTCCTTCCTTCTGGTATACCTCTGAGTACCATCTTTACCATCTCTCTCTCACTTCTACGGTTAATATGGCCCATCCATCTCAACCTCCTACTCTTAACTATTCCCACAATATCTGGTTCACCATATAATTCTTTTAACTCTCTATTTTCCCTTATCCTCCATGCATTTCCTTCTTTTACTGGTCCAAAAATTCTTCTCAAAATTTTGTTTTCAAAAGTAATAAGGCGCTTCTGGGATTTTTTGGTAAAAGACCAAGTTTCTGACCCGTATAGCAATACAGGTTGCACTATAATTTTATACTTTTATATTATATTATAATTACTTATATAATTTATATTATACTTAGCATTTTTACTCTCTAGGGAGTAAAAATAAACTGTTGTAAATAATGATTGTGACTATCGTATCAATCGAAATTATTTATCAATTGATTTATTAGGTGAGAAGCTTAGATGGTTAATTAATTATGCAATATGACGAAAAATATAGTTCACCTCATGGTCAAAAAGAGTCACTTTAGGCCCTAGTGATGAAATATACTATTTTGTAACTATAAGTTGTTCAAACTATTAAACTTTTCTAATGGAGGCTGCATAGTATGCAATGTTTGCTTTGCGGGTGTGAAGTAATAAATAAAACAAAACTGTGCTAAACAACAATTACAATTTATTAAAACTCAAAAGAAATATTTACATACATAGCTAAATAATTTTTACTTATGGAATAAGACCTCCCTCATATTATGTCCACCGACATCCAAGCACCAATCTTTTTTGGAAACTTGCCATCACCCTTTGTATCATGGACATTGGTATTGCGGCCATTTCATTACGGATGCTGTTCTTCAGATCTGCAACAGTTTGGGGTTTCGTGGCGAAAACCTTGCTTTTCAAGTAGCCCCACTATCAGAAATCACAAGGGGTTAGGTCTAGAGACCGGGTGATGGCGTTGTTATTTATTACTTCACACCCGCAAATTGCATGGATTTTTTATGCCACCTTCATTGGAAAAGTTAAATGGTTTGAACAACCTATATTACAAAAAGTGCTATTAATTAAGGAACCATTCAACGCAAAAATCATATCTCTAACCCATGAATTAGCTTAGCTGCCACTAAACAAAATGTTAGGGGTTATTATTGACCACCCGTTATAAACCAAGTAATAGAATATTTAAAGTGTTGAAGTGGAGTTACTGACAAGGAGTTATAATTATGATTAACTTGCTTATCAGGTTATATAATACTTATCATGATGTGACACAGTAGGCCTACAGGACGTGATTGAGCCATGCGAATACTTATGAAGTTAAGCGGGGCAAAGCCCGCGGGTACAGCTAGTTTTATATAAATCCAAATTTATTTTTAAAATTGACATCTTACTACACATTGTAGTCTGCTATAGAACAAAGAATAATATAACTTAACGAGTTTGTCCGAACCTAATTATGATTATTATTATTATTACAACCTTTTTTTTGTTTCTATAGTTAGTTGAGGTCCTTTTAAATATAAATCACCATCTAGCCACCACTGGCTCTGCACGCTCACACACACACACTCACTCAAGAAACCACTAATACTTAGTAATTATTCATTGTTTACAAGCAATTCTACATAAATTCTCTGGTAACTCTTGTGAGTGAGAAGTTGTGTTTTTTTTTCATAAAAACATAGTCAATGTAAGATTCAAAAGAAAGATGCATAATCTCATTTCTTAAAATCAATTTATTTGTAAATGGCACAGATAAATACATCAAAATATGTACACTATATTTCACAAGGTGGGATTTGTGAGAACGTAATTGGCCCAATTATACTATCTAATCACTGAGTCATCACTAGCTTGTCTACATGACCTATATCGCAATATTCTTGACTTATCTAACAGGTTATGCGGAAATTTTTCATCACAGTGTAGAAAACTTTTTTTACTAATCGTGATAGAGAATGTCCTGTAGTGATCTGTAAGACAAGATAATGCAAATCCTCCATCACCAAAAATGAACTTAAAATGATGCTTTATTGTCTGGATACCAAGCAAACAGTGGGTATGTAGTGATGATACCAACGTATCTCATGGAAAAACTTTGATTTTCCATTAGACTGTAACATAGTTTTTAGTGAAAGGTTGGGGTGGAGAGAGTTTACAGGAGTTAATCATTGACGTGTTTCTAACTCAAGTTGAATGGGATTGATTACAAGTTGTAGTTTCAACTAAAATACATGTTTCTAGTCCCTGAGCTGTTGGACATAATGTAAGACTAAATTACTTTACGCTCCCACCATACCATAAAATATACGGTAAGTGTGACAAAGCCAACAAACGTCTATATATTTTATCTGTGAGCTAATTCTATTACATGAGTTCATAAAAACTCCACATCTTACCTTACTGTTTTTTGTAGATCTACATTGACAACAAATTGTAAGCATAGCATATAGAAGTAATAACTTTATATAATTCATTACAAACAAGTGATTGTGATTGATGACAGTAGATTATTTTTGCTCTGATAAGCTTATAAGTATCTAAGCTTAGCTTTGCACCAATTGTAATTTTTATCTTTCTCAACATAAAGCACTGAGTTTCCTTGTGGATTAAAATTTTGAAGAGAGATTCCAAACTGTAACCTGAATAAATTTCATCAACACACCAAAGTTCAACACACAACAGAATCAATAATAATAATATGAACAATCATCAAGATATTGTATTGTATGAAGGGGCATACCCTTGGTCCCGGCATGTCAACTTGTCCCACTTGCTACTAACTTGGCAAGCATATACCTACAACTACATCCTTCAACAAGGGGCAGGAGCTTTTGTCCAAGATATTAGTGTCTGGTTCATCATCATCTGGCTGCTTTTGACCAAACAGGGCTATTCTCTTAGCCCCAAGTCTGTCACAATCCAGAATTATGATTTGCAGTCTCATCATCAAAATTAATAAAATACAGTTTTTTTTATGTAGTAGGCCTACTCAAATAAAACAAAAAATCTTGGAATAAACTGGTTATCAGTTAAAATAAATGTAAACACTTGATGTAAAACTGTACCATATAATTATAATTATTACATTATTATTTGCGAACAAACTGAAAGTAAGTGACATATATTAAAAAGAATACAGTTCCACGTTTGATAAAAATATATCCATAAACAAGGAAACTACAACATTTTACAATATTCTCTACAAGAATAACATAAGAATTTTAAATTTAAATTTTTTTTCATTTCCTCCGTACCAAATAACCGTATAGAAACTCTATTAGTTTAATATACTACATTTTTTAAGCTCTTTATAATGGTTTAGAGAGAAATTGGGGAATTTTGTGTTTTGAGGGTAAAAATTAGAAAAACCAATTTTTACCCCATAAAACCCCATTCCATGGTCTGATCATGCTGGTTTGCGAACTCATTCAAGTTTATCCCGCCTTACAATTTTAAATAAAATTTTATCAAAATCGGACAAAAATTACTCAACTTGCATTCACGGACACATATATTTAAATCTATATATGTATGTATATAACATTTTGAACGGTTTGCGTTTTTGCCATCTGGGGACATCAAAATTAAAAAGTAAATCGGTCCCGGGCCTAGGTCTCACCGTGCCACCTACGGTAAAAGCTGTTTAGGGAAATTCGCTAATTAAATAATCTTATATCAAATACAGCCTTTATAGATTTGTGCAGTTTGATTATAACTTTAAACTAATAATAGATATGGAACTGTCTATACATTCTTGCAGTTCAAGCGAACTATACATTTATATAAACAAAATGCAACAAATATAAATAATAAAATAATTGTACAAAAGAACTCAATGTCAAGAATGCATCATAAATAGTATGTTTAACACCAAATATAATGTACTTTCAAAGTGAATTACTAAAACTGGCACACTGGATAATAAAACAAAATGTACTAGACCTAAATTAGTTAGCCTTTACATTGAATACAAACTTGTACTAAAATCTTTAAAAAGTTTTTTTTTACATTCTAAAGCCACACAATTTAACATCTTAGGTATACAAGTACCAAAATAAATCTCACTGCAATACTGACAGCCAGAAATATTTTTTTTCGGTACCTATCAATAAAATGACTTGTCATTTGCTTTTTATGAATGATAATAAAACTAGTCTACACAGTGTTTGAATTTTCACCATGACATGAGTAGAATTTTGCACGAATTAACTATCTAAAAAAGAATTATGTAAATTTAAATTGCTTGTTCTTAAGGCAACTAATGCGTTGGAGGAAATCAAACTGAGGTCAGTCCTGATAAAAATTTCTTGAGCTTACAAATTTTAAAATGTTAGCAAATATCCAAAGCTGCTAAAGTGGATGTTTAGTATTAAAATAAGAAACTCAACAAACACACATACAAAACTAAGAATAAAACCATTTTGAAAACAACTAACATACAACCTACTTAATATTCTAAGTGATATGCATAATAAATAAAACATAAAACTAGATCAGCTGCAAAAAAACTGCCTCCATTACACTTTGGCAACAAATCACTAAAATTAAAATATAAGAGCATGCAAACATTGGCTTTGGATACTGAAGTAGACATCCCATTTGTATTTATTGGTCGCCAGTTTTGTTTTTGCCGAAAAACATAGTTCAGTGAACCTCTCTCATAGAGTCTGGTACAGTACAACTGAAATTCATTTTTATTTAGTTTCTCAGATACTTAATGGGGATATGAAAGGCGCTGCAGTTTATTATTGAACTAATATTCTAGTTTGGTATTATAAAAAAGGGGTGGAAAGAAATCAGTATTTTAAAGAAGTCCCACGAAGTACACTGTTAATGGTTCAATTAAAGCAGCCTACAGTAGAAATCCAATCTTCCGAATAAATTGGGACCAGACGCCACTCGGATAAACAAATATTCAAATAGTTTTTTACCATAATTCAGTGTATTTTTAAGAAAATATGCCGAGTCATGTCAGTCTCGGCATATTTTAATAAAGATTTAAAACAATTACTATACCTAGTTGGTAAAAAGCATGTGACCTAAAAATGTCAACCCATTGTTATGCTTGATGTAAAAAATGTAACATCTGATACCAATTATGGCTGAATTAATGTACAACTACAGTAACTCATAGTGGCTAAATTATGTAAGCATTTACACTGATCACTTCACTGTTGTAACCATGAACATAATCACTCAATATTCTTTTGCACAAAAACAAAAGCAAATGTGCACAGTAATACTTCATAAGTCAATCACTATTCATAAATTACAATAATAAAAGTATAAAATGTTTTTGAAGAAAACCAAAAATATGTAACTGCTGACAACAAAACTTAATTGATAAATATTAACATTAATTGTTGCCAATATTAGAGGTGTATTACAGATTCTTACTGATGCAATGTTTATCAGTTTTGCTCACAAAAACAGAAATTAATTGCCTTCGGCTTAGCTGTGATTAACTATCATCCTTTGTTTCTATAAAATCTAAAAAATCATCTCTTAATACAAATATTCCTAGCAATAATAATCATCCTGAAAAGTGCATTTAATATTTTAATATTTATAACCTGACATATCTGATCTCTTTCACCTCTCAAATCCGACAATGGGTTGGATCCCTGAGTATGCTAGGAAAAAAGCAACATAAAGCTGATCCAGTTCAGTACGATAGTGAACATTACATTTAAAAGTAAATTGTGAAACCAGGATTTTAACTCTGTCGTAGCTGCCACGGTTCTATAGTACAGTAAATGTCTGCTGATCCAGCATCCGATTGTCCAACACTTTCAACAATCCGTTATCAGTGTAAAGATCTAAACTTTTTTTGAAAGCTGTTTTAAACCATATTATCGTTTGAGAGAGTCGGGAGCGATAGGCAGACATCAGGAGTAGCAATAATGGCTAGATTTAGAAGGCGTTCAGTAATCCGGCATTTACAATAATCTAGTAGGTACAGCCAAAGTCACGAACATGTCAGATTAGTGAGCGTCTACTGTATCTTGCATTGATTCAACTACCAATGTAAGTTTTATCCACATAGGTTGAGTTGTACTTTGTGATAAAATATTTCCTACATGACTAATGTGTTAAAAATGCTGGTTATTATTTTCCCAAGTTAAGATGCCTCAATCATTGCAGCGTGGTCTCACTAACCAAAGTATCAGTGATGTACGCGACCTGTAGAATATGTCTGAAAAACACCTTCTCCTGGGGTCTGTTTACTGTCCACGCAATCACACGTACCTTCTTCTTCTCCCAGGCAGCTATCAGGTCCCTGGGTAGGAAAGTGTTGGTTGATATAATTTAATAAAAGGTAGCAATACCTAAAGAACTGACTAGTTTATTTTCCAAGCACAGGTCATTTTGAATGCGAAGGTTTATTTTAGAGTTGAATAACAGGCAAACAAATCCTTCTTGTTACTTGGGAGCTCCTACCAATGGCAACTCCTCACAACCCAGGTGATGAAAAGGATTTAAGAGTCTGATGGCTTGTTTAACTTGAAAATTAATCATCATGTTAAAAAACAATCAAAACCAGGATCGGATGACAGTGGATTTAATTTGATTTCTAAAGATTAAGATAATTATGTACCTTTTTAAATTTTAGATTTTTTTGGTTAGTTTGGTACAGTACTTTAGTATTACGGTACTATTTTATGCTAAAAAAATTAAGATTAGATTACCTTTTGTTATTCATAATCTGTTTGTATTAGCTTTATAAAGCTTTATGAAGATTTTCTTGACAAATTATACAAAAAATCTTTATGAAAAGTAAAAAAGTAATTTAAATGTTCCTTATGACTTAGTGTATTTATGTTTATATAAAAATGAGTTCAATTGAATTAGGCCTTGAACTTACTAAAACGTAGCAACAGACTGTTACTTACGAAGTAATAACGTCTTTGTGCAACAAAACAGCTGACAGTCCAAGAGTGTGATAGCCGACATGAGTCAACAACCAGGTGCCGAGTACATCGGCAGCACAGGCTACAACATGCGCCAGCACGCCAGAGTGGCGCCGCACCGAGGCCACGTCTCGGCCGTAGCTGCTCAAAGAGTAGTAGTATGGCCGCCACGCCAACGAACACACAATGCCTGGGTCCTTTGAACGGACCTGTAATTTGAAAAATAGTAGATTATTTGAGCAAATAAAATTCTGGGTTCACACTATTTTTTAGTAATTGATTTCCCTGACTTTCCCTTACTGTACCAAAGGTCAAATTTTCCCTGACTCTCAACTCGAGATATACACAGCTTTTTTAGCAATTTTTGTAAAAATAAATTAAAATTTGTTTAGTTAACCTCCTCAATCGCCATAGCCTCGTCAGGCTATCGTCGTCACGCTCTCCTTTTATTATTCTAAAACATTTTATTTGAATACACAAAACTTAACAGCTTCTAATACTCTGAAAATTTTACTTGAATACAATATCTACCAACAAGAAATATTTCATGTAAATACATACCGGTAATACTTTACTTAAAACAATTTATTTGAATACATATATAATACGTTACCCAATTGGGCCAGTTCAACAGAAATATTAAACTAGCACAATTCCCATTGGTGTAAGAATTTAGTGGAATACACACGGAAGACCAATAGGAATTGCACAGTTTAGTTACGGGCAGGAAGGTTAGTTACTTTGATTACTAATAACTAAAAATTTAAGTACCGAGTAAAACGGGGTAACTTGAGACATTTTTCAACTTAAAAGAAACCCCTACCAAATAATTTTATAGGGAAATCTGCAAAAACTAGAATAAAACATTAGTTACCCTGGTTACTATGGTTTCTACATTTAATAATTGGTGTAAATATAGAAATTTTATTTATTTATTTATTTTTATTAGTGTCTCAAGTTACCCATATAAATGGGGTAACTTGAGACACAGATGTTAAAACAACAGTTGTCTCAAATTAGATAATGCAATGGTAACTTGAGACATAATAAAATATCTAGGAAAACAAAGGAATACACATTATAAAAATTATTTAAAAAAGAGGAAACAATTTTTTTCACAATGTCAGACATAACTTAGTAAATTTCGTTCAATTCTGGTACAGAAAAATACCCCCTCTTATTGAGCATTTTAGGGGGGTTAATACCACCAACAATATCTTCCCAACGATAGTTAAGTTCATCCTTTTTTTCCGGCCATTTCCAGTTATCCTTGAGAGTCCCCTTCATAGCACTGACTGTAGCACCTTCTTCGTCAAATCGTTCAATCACCCCAGGGTAAAAACTTGCCTTCGTAGCTTATAATTATAAAAGACCCAACTTGCTTGTTTATTTCCTGAAGTTTGGGCTGAAGTGTTTCAATGTTTATCTCTTCTTTCTTCTTTATATTATTTTCTTCTTCCTCGACATCAGAACAGCTGGCGTTGAGAATTTTTCTTCTAAAGTCATCGAAGTCATCATTTGAACTGTCCTCACATAAATCTGCATCACTCCAAATTTCTTCTTCACTCTCTTCAAGTAGAAGGTCTATTTACAGCTTCAGAAGGATTTTCATTCAGTTTCCTCTTCTTTCCCTTCTGTTTTGAGATGGCACCAGTATCTGTAAATTCAGGGACATCTTCTTCACAGATTCCTTTAACAGCTGGAACACTCAGTTTCTTCTTTGCTTTCCTTAGGCCAGCAGTTTCTTGTTTTCTGCTTCCTTCTAAATATTCTTGAAATGAAGCAACCCAAATCATGGAATTGTCTTGGTTGGCGGCTTGGCTTTCAGAGACTGGAGTCCTTTGTGGAAGTCTCTTTAGGACTTGTTCTCGATCTAAAGGAATCAAGCCAGATCCTTTAAAACCACTAGTGACGTTTTTAGAAATTTTGTCGTCACCCATTTCAACGAGACATTTGTTTAATAATCTAGGAAATGTGTCTTTAGGTACAACTCCTCGATGTTTTGTTTTCCAGTCTTCCAAAGTTTGACGCCACTTTATTTTCAATGGGCGGAAGAAGGCAACATCTAATGGCTGAGTTATGCCAGTACTGTTCGGAGGAAGAAGAACAAATCTTATGTTATGATCATTGCATGATTTTACAATTTCTGGAGAAATATGGCTAGAGAGATTATCTCCAATCATGAGTCTTGGTTTGTTTTTGTCAAACTTAAAAAAGTAAGGTAGAGCAACTCTGGCAAACCAGTCTTCAAAAATTTCAGATGTAAACCATCCACTCTTACTTCTATTGTATATAGCCCCTTTTGGGCCATGCTCTGTCCAGGTGTTGTACAGATTTTCCGCCTTATAGGTTATATACGGAGGTAAAAGTTTGCCATCTCCAGTCGCAGCAAACATGACGGACGTGCTTGATTTTGTTGAGTCAATGATGCGTTCAGGGTGACGACATCCTCTTCTAACAACCACCTTTTTCAGGCCAGGATCATCAGTCATATTTGTTTCATCATAATTTATGACTAATTCGGGAGTTACATCCTCCATTGACTGGTTTAGTTCATCAAAATAGTCATTAATGATATCGTGATCAACTTTGGCTCGTGTCCTTTTTATGTTTTGGCACATTTTTTGGCTCAATTTGTCACGATGCCTCTTCAAAAACGAAATGGCAAATTCACGGCCCGGCAGGTTGTCTTTGAAACGGACTTCCCTTTTTCCAGAACGATCAAGGAAAGATTTCACAATCAGCCTGACATCATACAATGTGAGTGGAAAGCCCCAATCACCTGCTTTACTTAAGCATTCAACTACAGTGGCTTGATCGTTTTCATTCAGTACAAACGGTCTGCCAACTTTACTTGAGTTTTTACCTCTTATGGCCCTATTAATAGAGCATCGTGGTACGCCATACTTTTCTTCAGCTTTTCGCAAAGATAGGCCTCCTTTTACATCCTTCATAGCCTTCTCAAGTTGATCTGGTGTAAAATCTTTATATTTGCGTGAGCCTACAGCCCTCTTCTGGTTACGCACCATAACTTGACCTGAAAATAATCAAACTAAGCTATTATATTGTAATATACACTTTTTATAGTATGACATTCAAAAGTGGGGTAACTTGAGACAGTTGTCTCAAGTTACCCCACCAAGGACAGAACAGGGTATTTTATTTTTTTATAAATTTTAGGTTGGCAATAGCTTAGTGAGAAGATTATTATTGACAACTCAGCTTTTGAGGTTAGGTAAGTAATAACAATCATTGAATTCCTAATAATATACTTGACACTACAAGGTAAGTTATACAGCCTATAATTTTTGAACATCTGTAACCCAAAATAAATTAATAAATAAAGCATCTTACCTTGAATATAACAATATGTCGTAATATGCAGTAGTTAAGGGATCAACTTCCATGACATGTTCACACTAAGAAAACTCCCAATAACTCATCAGGTATGCCAACAAAAAAAATTAAAAAAACATCTGCAAATTGTCTCAAGTTACCACACTGTCTCAAGTTACCCCGTTTTACGGTACCCAAAATCCAATTGGTTGAAACTTAGTATTCAACAATATAACTTTCAAGAACACAGACAATCTAGATGACATTTTTATAGGGTCCGAACGAACACTCGCAAGAATTGAGGTTAATCTGGTTTACCTAATGCGGCAGACTGTCTAACAGCAAATTGGTAATTTGGTGCCAAAACTGGAAACAAATATTGCTTATAAATGTAGCAACCGGGAATAAACACAAAATTGCATAAAAATATACAAGTATAACAGGTACAGTTTTTTATAGACTCCACTTTAACAAAAAGATTTTTCTCTAGAGAGAAGTTGTAGTTTTTTTGTCATCTCAGTAACTTTTTTAAAGCGTAAAGCGAAAACTAAAAGGTCAGTGGAGTCAGTTGACAGACTACAGTTTGACAGTTGGTGGCGGGATTTGACTTTAGATCCAAGCCTCTGATGTAAATTACAAAGTTAAGTTAAGGAGGAAAATAATGGGCAAGTTTGTATATTACCTAGGAATAGTAAATTGAGTACATATTTGCAACATTGTCAACATCTTTATCAATAACATTGGGTATTGGAGACAGCTGTCAAACTCAAACCTTCCTTGGTTGAATATGCTGTCAGTGACAGTGAAATATTCTAAAATGTATTTGTGTATAGTATAAAGTTTTCTTTCTTGTACCAGATTGGACCCTTTCACATTTAGGCAAGCCTGCTCTCCTCACAAAAAATCCTTAGTGTAAAACAAAATTAGACAAAAGGTAAACTTACCATATAAATGAGAAAAGGATTGAAGCCTGAAACTATTGCTCGTTTGTAAAGCTTTGGGTGTTCTTTGAATGCAGCCAGTATTACTTCCACAGTCTGTAAAAAGTAAAATCACATTATTTAAGTTATTGGAAGTGATGATATGTTTATGTAGTTCTGTACAGTCTTTTTTTGGAGGGGCTTTTAAACTCAAAATATAAACTTGGCTTGGTTTTTAGATCGTCTACATTGCAACTTAACTTTTAAAAAAATGTTGCAATCCTCTTTTAAGAATAATAAATATTAAGGATGGGTCGGTTTTTGAAATCAGTTGTTGGTTTTACCAGGTAATGTCAGTTATTGTTTTATTGGTTTGTCGTGCAATAGCTTTGCCGTAATCGGCAGATTCAATGGTGATGTCTTCATGATCCCAGGATATAATGCTGATGCTGATGTGTGTCTTTGTGTTAGCAGAGGATGTTCAAGATTTTGAGAAGATCACGGGAGACAACGATGTTTTCACTAATACAAGGGACGATGATGATGATATGTTCACGATCGTGGGGATGTTCAAAAAGTTTTAAACCTAGCTAGCTTAATTCAAATTTGTCACCAGTCCATTTGTGTTTGAATTATTCAAGTTCCACTATATCCGTTAACTAATCTATAACAAAATATTTAAAGTATTTATGCACAAAATATGAAAATGTCATCTGAATTGGATTAAAAATGCAACTCAATCAGTGATCAAGGTAAGTGAGTTTCTCACCTTTGTACTCTCATCCTTCACATCAATGATCATTCTCATGTCAAGCTCTAGACATAGCTTGATCACATCACTAAACAACGGGACTCTCTCACCAATGAATCTCTCCCTACAACAAACAAGTACAGTAGTAATGGTTATTTTATTCTAAACACTTATCAAGTATAGTTCTGACACTTGAATGTGGCAGATTGTTCGTAAATAGACTAGTCTATATATCAATCATTCAAACAAAATATATGTATTTCATAATATGCAAAAATACAGTTACATGAAATAGAGTCATGGGAACTAAAACTAAGTGAAACGGTTATTCAAAAAATACAATCAAAATTATTAAGAGAAAAAGTCCAAATAAAAAGAGTCAAGAACAAAACTCCCGATAGAAAAGAAAGCTGATTGAATTAGAAATGCTTTTGCCAAATTCAAAAATCTATTCGTATTAATTATTTCTTTTTTGATATTTTGTGGCTTAATGTCAAAATATTTGTTTCCTGTATAGGTGATTTTTTTTAAAAAAAAAAGCTCTAATTTATTATGTTTAACACGTAGAGTGTGGCCGTTCCCGATCGGGTACGGTGCTTGGCCCCTGCACGGTGCGTCCATACCCCATCAGGAACGCTCGGCAATGCCTTTTGTATATCTTCGTTTTTGCTCTAGTGTCGGCCAAAAGCTGACCTATACCACGTTAGCGTGTAGTATGTGACTTGCATTTTGTTGGTGGTGTAGGTTGGTGGTAAATTTCCCTGTAAAATCCCCCCCTGGCAATCTCAAAAATCTACTTTTTGTCCTGTCTTTTTCCCTCCATTTGGCAATACAATTCTAATGGGACCGGCTACGTTCCAAGCAGTGCTGCTATCTGTGGGTGTTTAGCGAACTATGTCGACTCTCGTTGTAAAGCAGGACATCCCCGCACGTTATTTGCTATTTGTCAGACCAAAATTAGAAAGCCAATCACAAGCGGCAATCGGGTTTGTTCAACGCTGAGGGCTGCGCCACACTGGGGATACGCCCGCCATTTGATGTGCCGCAGCAAACGTGTTAACCAATCGACGGGGTCTTGTATTATAGCTATGGATAGTATTACCAAATGTAAGTTTATTGTTAGATACTACAAATTTTATTGTTTCAAAAATAAAGAGGCTGTAAACAGTAAATATTTTCAATTTGGAAAAATAAAAAAATCTTACAATTTAGTCCTTAGCGTCTTCTCAACCAGATACTGCAGTACATCTATTTTGGAGATTACTCCATTTTTGGGTGCGTAGTATAGAAGTACACTCAACCAAAGCCTTTTATTTACAATCAACATAACATTTCTTTACTTTCACTCCATCAGCAGTTAAATAAAAATTACCTATAAAAAGACAGGACGGGTATATTCGACACTACACGAAAACATTTAGCGAACATGCACAGCATAAAAACTGGGGACCTGTTCAATCCAGGTCACTGTATGACTTATGTGAACGACTCGACTGGAATAGCTGATAGCACGGTGCACTATCTTAACCTTTTGCTTAAAACTTGTTGATTTCAGAATAATCGTGGCAATACTGTGAATGTGGACCAGCAAGACCCAGGAACACAACTGTATTAGAAAAGTCAGGTGTAACCTCAAGTGAGGAGAATGAAACTCTTATTATATTGGACAGACTGACAGGTGTTTTTAAACCAGACACAAAGTGCATGTAAAAGCACTATAACGAAACCCAACCCTATCACAATTCTTATGCCGGACCGATTCAGCACCCTGCAGTGGAGCAGGCCTAGTTTATGAAACAGCCACAGAGCATAGTACCACTCCTGACCAGTTATTGGCATTTAGAATGTCTCTTTGATGGTAAGTTTATCTCTTATGATAAACTTCTATCAGGGACATATTTCCGAATAGGCGGACTAGGCGCCCGCCTAGGGCGGCAAATTTTAGGGGCGGCAAAATTTTGAGGGTAAAAAAATAAAAAAACGAAGTTTTAATCTAAAAAAAATGTTAACAAATAATTTTGGGAACGGCAAAATAGCCATTTCAAATATCTATTATATTATTAAAGTGATACAATCAAATTTTATGTAAACGGTTAAGGTCATTTACCAAATAACTAGGTGGCGTTCGCAGAGGCATCCACAAAATTGAGCGGAGTCATCAAGGGTTTATATTGTTTTGGTCATACTGCAGTAATACCAGTCGTTTTTAATGCATGCGTTGTGGGTCTAAAATAGCAATTTTACTCTTTATCTTTAGGAAGTAAAACAAGTTTTTATCCTCTATGGAGTAAAAATAGTTTTTATCCTCTATGGAGTAAAAATCAGCTGTTGTCAACTCAGTTGTAAATTTCTATTATAAACGATTGCATGTATCGAAATATGTATCGATTCGTGCTTCGAAATTATTTTAACCTACAGTCTACAGTCTCTTCCCATAGCGTTTTAGCTTTGCAGATACATTAATCCATTCCCACACTCAACACGCTCACCTTTACTACTTCCTTCACCACCCCCTACGTCGTGGACCTATTTCCCTCTCTTCCCATACCATTTTAGGATTGCAGATATATTAATGTAATTGCCAAAGACAGTTCCCACACTCTGCACTGCAAGCCTTACCACTTCCGTCACCATTTCCTACGTCATAGACTTGTTTCCTTCCCTTCTCAAAGCATTTTTGGATTAAAGATACATCAATCTAACTGCCACAGACGGTTTTCACACTATGCTCATACTTTACTACTTTCTAAGCCTTTTTCTACATCATGGACCTGTTTCCCTCCCTTCCCATAGCATTTTATGATTGCAGATACCTCAATCTAATAGTCATGAACAGTTCCCACACTCCGGACAGCTCGCCTTGACTACTTCCTTCATCACTTCCTACGTCGCGGACCCGTTTTCCTCCCTTCCCATAGCATTTTATGATTGCAGATACCTCAATCTAATCGTCATAAACATTTCCAACACTCCGGACTGCTCGCCTTTACTACTTCCTTCGCCACTTCCTACGCAACGGAACTGTTTCCCTCCCTTTCCATAGAATTTTATGATTGCAGATACCTTAATCTAATTGTCATAAACAGTTCACACACTCCGGACTGCTCGACTTTACAACTTCCTTCATCACTTCCTACGTCGCGGACCCGTTATCCTCCCTTCCCATAGCATCATAGGATTGCAAATACCTTAATATAATGGTCATAAGCAGTTCCAACACTCCGGACTGCTCACCTTTACTACTTCCTTCGCCACTTCCTACGCCACGGAACTGTTTCCCTCCCTTCCCATAGCATTTTATGATTGCAGATACCTCAATCTAATTGTCATAAACAGTTCCAACACTCCGGACTGCTCGCCTTTACTAATTCCTTCGCCACTTCCTACGCCACGGAACTGTTTCCCTCCCTTTCCATAGAATTTTATGATTGCAGATACCTTAATCTAATTGTCATAAGCAATTTCCACACTCCGGACAGCTTGCCTTGACTACTTCCTTCATCACTTCCTACGTCGCGGACCCGTATTCCTCCCTTCCCATAGCATTTTATGATTGCAGATATCTTCATCTAATCGTCATAAACAGTTCCCATACTCCGGACTGCTCGCCTTTACTACTTCCTTCACCACTTCCTACGTGACGGACATGTTTCCCTCCCTTCCCATAGCATCGTTGGATTGCAAATACCTTAATCTAATCGTCACAAAAAGTTCCAACACTCCGGACTGCTCGCCTTTACTACTTCCTTCGCCACTTCCTACGCCACAGACCTGTTTCCCTCCCTTCCCATAGCATTTTATGATTGCAGATACCTTAATGTAATCGTCATAAACAATTCCCACACCCCGGACAGCTTGCCTTGACTACCTCCTTCACCACTTCCTACATCGCGGACCTGTTTCCCTCTCTTTCCATAGCATCATAGGATTGCAAATACCTTAATATAATGGCCATAAGCAGTTCCCACACTCCGGACAGCTTGCCTTGACTATTTCCTTCATCACTTCCTACGTCGCGGACCCGTTTTGCTCCCTTCCCATAGCATTTTATGATTGCAGATACCTTAATCTAATCGTCATAAACAGTTCCAACACTCCGGACTACTCGCCTTACTACTTCCTTCGCCACTTCCTACGCCACGGAACTGTTTCTCTCCCTTCCATAGCATATTACGATTGCAGATACCTTAATATAATGGTCATAAGCAGTTCCCACACTCCGGACAGCTTGCCTTGACTACTTCCTTCATCACTTCCTACGTCGCGGGCCCGTTTTCCTCCCTTCCCTTATAATTTTTGGAATGCAGATACCTAAATCTAATCGTCATAAACAGGTTGCACTCTCCAGACTGCTCACCTTTAGTACTTCCTTCACCACTTTCTACGTCGCGGATCCGTTTTCCTCCCTTCCCATAGAATTTTAGGAATGCAGATACCTAAATCTAATTGTTATAAACAGTTTCCACACTCTAGACTGTTCACTTTTAGTACTTCCTTTAACACTTACTACGTCGCGGACCTCAAGCTAGTGTCGTCATTTGATTATTTTATGATCCATACCACCGTTTATGTTCTAATATCTATGGAATAATGCTATCAGCTATTTATTTATCTACTGCATTCAACAGTCATCAGCTGATCATATGTCTTTGTTTATGTGTCAAATACTGCTTCCATAAGGATTACATTGAAACTTTGAGACCCAGTGGGGCGGATTCCTGAGAGTTATTTTTAACGCCATATAGATGTTGGCACTCACCGATATGGTCTTTATCACCATCCAAAATTTGAAAACGATTGATTCAGCCGTCTAGGAGGAGTTTGCATATTACGAAATGCATAAAAGTCAACGTATAAGAGCTTCGCTCGCTCCGCTCAAAAATATAAGCATATGGCACATCAAAATGAAGCTTAGAGTGTGTAGATTTGCCGAAAAGTATTGATATAGACGAATTTCCTAAGGGCTCTGCTCCACAGGCTAATTTCCAAAGGGCTACCCCTGGCATATTTCCAAAGTTCAAATGATATAATTCAATTTAGTTCATGAAACAGCTGGTCAGTGCAATGGATTGGTGTTTGTTTATTTACTAGAAAAATGAAGATTGAGGAGGGTTATGTTTGGTTTTAAAGAAAGGTTGTATAAGTTTTGTTTAAGTATTGCTCAAAGTTTTTATTTTGTAATTTATATAGTAAGCTACATGGAAAGAGGCTTGACTAAAATTGAAGAATTATGGTAAAAAATGTCATTCATGAAGCAGTAATATGAAGAAATTGATGCTAAGGTATGTGTCCGTATGGAGGTAGGTATATTCTTTTGGATCTATTAACATCAAAAGTAGGGGGTTTGAAAGTAGGATTACACTTTTAAATCAGTTTATATTTTCAAACTAAATCATAGAAATGCTGTATTTTAAAACACACATCAGCACCACTTGAATAGCTCTCTAGGTCACATTTTCTTCCCGTTGCAAAGCACGGGTATAGCAGCTTGTATTAAGTATACAACTATTTCAGAACGCATCCAAGTCAAACAAACGTCAATAGTTTATTACACAGCTGTGTAGAGTTGTCCGTGCTGCCCTATTGGTCTGCCGGACACGCTCGCCGCGGGAGCGGGTCGCCGTGCCGGCCGCTATTTAGTGACAAACGTAGAAAACACTCCCTTCTGTTAACTTCATACACCACTACGCAGTGGCAGCACTAGCTGAAAGATTCTTTTGCTAGGTTAAAATCAAGAAGGAAAGTGTGAACTAAATACTTACCACTGTACCAAACTTAACTAATTTAAAATTTTATATTATTATTTCAGTAAAAGTACGTAATTTTTCTTTGCGATTCATGTGTTTTTTGTAAAAAAAAATAGTTTAAGAAAACATATTTCCTTCATTTCAAATCAAAGCCAATAGCACGTCTCTCAAGTGGATCTGACTAATAGTGTTCAATGAAAAGCGTTATAAGAACCATTGTATACAGACGATTTTGTGTGCCGTTTAAAGCCGCAAAATGGGATTGTAAAAATACTGATTAGATAAAAAATGGTACATTCCGTGTAGGCCTATCCAAGTCAGAATGTTTTGCAAAAAACGGCACAAAAAACGTCTGTTAAAAGGGGTCGAAATAGTATATTTCGTACCTAGGGCCGAAAATGAGGTTTCGCCGGCTCGAGATAGTTTTTAGGTTCGAGACGAAGTCAACCTAAAACGATCGAGAGCTGCAAAACCATTTCGGTCCGTGGTACGAACGCCATTTTCCACCACACTATACCTTAATAATTGCACTATTCACCACAATAATGATGCACACTGATAGTCAACACAACTAGAACTTTAAGGTTATGTGAAGACATCATTTGAGGAATCAGCCAAAATTCAAATAAATAGTTGCTAGGCAGCGGTGACAATAAAACAATTCTATTGCAATGCTATGGATACTGATTGTGTATTTATTATGCGTTCATGTTTAAAAAAAGTAAGCGATCAGCTGATTTTGCTGCCCTAGGGATGTAAGAACCTGCTCGGTCCCCAAATGACGATGACAGCTGGCATGGCCAGCAAAACGTAACTTTCAGCCACCAATTAACGCATGTAAAACAGCTAAAAACATCATAGTGTGGTGAAAAGTTATTAAATTTGTTGATGCAGCATGCATTATTACCGATTATTTTTCCACAAAACTAGCTGACAGGGCATGTATTGGCCATTGGGGTGATATTAGTGAGGTCGGGGAGTGCGTTGAAAAGTGGGAGCGGGAGGGGCGGCGGCAAACTTTGTTGCCTAGAGGCGGCAGATACTTAAATACGTCCCTGACTTCTATGGTGTACCTTCTTTGGTAATAAAAAATGTCTACGACCTCCAAATTCTTTTACCTTCACCATTTGTAACGAGAAAGACTTTGGGTACAGTTCCGCAGAGACTGCGATATAATATCAGATGAATAACAATAAATAGGCTCCTATTGATATTTATCCAACTCAATAAAATATCGATTAAGCCTACAACATATTTTTATTTGTTTTTCCAATGTAAACATCAAATTGATTTATGATTTATTTAAGTTTATATTAATATTTAATAAATAAAACTAGGTAACAAAATATTTAGGCTAACCTAAAACTGTTGTTTTCAATTTTCAACAGGCCTAGCCTACTGTTGATAAGTTGTAGTAACCACATAGAGATAGAAAATTCATGGTTTCTTCAATTGTTATTCCTAAATATCAAAGAAAATACTAAGGATAAAATAGGCCTAAAGAAAAAGCTTTGATAATGTTTTATTGGTACTTTCCTGTTAAAGGGAACATTCATTATTATCGATGATTTTTTCGAAAGCCTATATCGATATTTTTGTTTTCCGATCCATTACAAATTCACAACAACTAACTACTGATCTTGTTTAGGCTAAAACAGTATATTATATTTTATAGGCTATGGATTAAGAAATGAAACTGTTCAACCTAAACTAACCGTTTGATAACAGAAAAGGCAAGTTAAACACGGAATTTTTAAATGTTACAGCAAGTTTGGTTAGTTATGTTAGGTTATTTTTTTAGAACAGTTTCATTTTATTATTGTTTGTTGATACTGAACAATATTTATCGTAGTTGTCAGCTGATATGTTTCAATTTGTTAATATCGATATATCGAGAAAAAAACCATCGATAATAATGAATGTTCCCTTTAACAGGAAAGTACCGTTTTATTAAATAACATCTTGATCAGCATTGTATGTGTTATTAAATTTACAGAAAGTAAATAAAAGAGACGTCTTATAACACTTAAAACACATATTTACGCAAACTGTTACTCACAAGATGGTAAACAGAAAAGATGGTAAATGGTTATCGATTTCGATTGGACACTCCAATCATTATCAGACCCAATAGGCGAATTTTATTGTTTTTATTTTTCTAAATATCATGTGGTAGGCTATTAAATTCAATATGATATTAATATCGAAACAAAAAAAACATAGATTTTTATTGTTATTTGAATCTGATAATACATCGCAGGTTCTATGTGGAACCTGTAGCCTACTTCAATTGTTGTCTTTTGCAGACACTCAAATAAATATTACAAGTTTCCTTGCCGCGACGGTCTATTGCAATGACCAGTAAGGAACATGGTTCCACCTAATGATTTGAAAGCTAGGCAGTACTGGCCAAAACATGTGTTGTTTTCACAAAGTGTTTGTTTCAATGCCTGAAGCAGCTTTAGAGACAAAATAAGTTAATTCCAAACTGGTAGGCGAGCTGCATGATGGCTACCTAGCTGATACAACCACTGGTACTGACCGCATGAGTGGCAGAGACAGCTGGACGTTGAAACAATCCCACGTTATTTACCGATAACAAAAAGTTAAATTTGCTATGAACCTACTGCAATGGATGCTTCTCTGATATGTCAAGAGCTCTTAATTGATCCCATGTCATCTGTTGAACAACTCCGGATGAGTTAGTAATCCTGTCTACAGTGTCATCATGGAACAGCACTGGTACGCCATCAGCTGTCAGAACTAAGTCAAACTCGACTGCTTTACATCCTTTGTCATGACACTGAAAAAATAACACAAGGCTCGGTTTAACTTGGTGGGTTAGCTAATAACAGATTTACAACTCTTTGAACCATTAACACGTTGACTGCTAAAAAAGTCGGCGTCGCTAGCACTTCAATGTGGCGCGCGCCGACAAAAGTCGGCACCAGACCAACAGAAATATATTGAGTCAGTGTGAGCTTAGCCTCAGACGGAGACGTTATAATCGTTGCCAGACTGCCAGCTTAGAATGCGAGCTTTACTTTGGTGTAGGTTGGTACTAAAATTTCCCGTAAAATCCTGTCTGGCAATGCTTTTGTCCCGGTTTCGGGGATTTTTTCTCTTCAACCCACATTACAAAGACACTGGATACGGATCCGTGCAGTGCTGCTACCTTTGGGTGTTTCAGTGAACTACATCCACTCTCGGGGTAACGCAGCACAGTCACCACTGCTCTTTTGTGATTCGTCAGACTGAAATGTTTTAATGCCAATTGCGTTCGCTGATTCGGTTGCGTGGCGGGGCTTTGTCCGCCACTGGGGAGCGCCTGTACGTTGTTTTCAGCAGTCAACGTGTTAATAGATGTCAACAATTACTCAGAGGTTATCTAGCTCCAATAATTTATCCAACAGCTAGTGAGACAATGAGATGACAAGGTGACAAGCTATGACGTTACATAGTTACCTAGTTAACGTTATATATAGTATGTATATGTAATACGTTATAATGTATGTATATGTAACATTATATAGTTAATAGTTCTTACCACATTCATTTGCTTGATTTTTTAAGTGACTTTATAAGTTAATAATACTTAGTATGAAAAAGTAACTAGACTTTTATTTAATTGATATAATTAAGTTAGGCTATGGGGATGGACTTCCGTAAGTTAATCTGTTGTCAAAAACAACCGAATGAAAATATCAACTACCCTATTCGATTGTTTCATTTGATATATCGTTTGGTTAGTTAGGTTAACCTTACATAACTAACGGATGTTTTTGACAACAGATACTGAAGTCTACCCGGCTATCGGAAAATCCTGGAGCTGTACTGTTTCTCATAATAAACTTAGGCCTAGGTTATAAATTAAGATCTGACCTGTCTTATTGCCGACAAACTATTCTCTGGTGCATCAAGTCCAGCCCCTCTGTGACCTATTACTGTGAAGTACTCTTTGTCATCTTCAACTTGCTCTTCTTCTCCAGACAAACTTGAGTTAGATTTTCTAAATCTCATCAGTTTTGGATCGCTTCCTAAAATTTCTTTGACTAGTGCTGGATCAGGTTGAGGCACAGCAACAGACCAGAGGGTCCCATAGGTTAGGAGTACAATTATTGTCAACAAAACACCAGAAAATACACTCAATGAAATAGTTTCGAAGAACAGTACTATGAAACAATAAATGCTAGACCAAAACATAAAACAACTTGTAAATACACCGATATCAAAGCTGAATGGTTTGTTTATGAACTTCATTTTCAGTTTATCTGTTTGAAAAAATAATAACAAATACTATTTTCGTTTAAGTTAAGACCACTTCCACGAGATTAATCAACACTTAGCTTCAACATTTAACTTACACACATAAACTTAAATGCTTTCTTGAAGTTGAAGAGGAAGGCCTCGTTTGTTGAGTTATCTTTGAATTAAGATTATAGGGATGGGTTTTTTTTAAAGATAGTCTAAGTGACAGAGATAAAAAGGGTCACTTAATCCAAATGAAGCTGTTAAACTTAAAACTTGATCTAGGATTAAGCAAGACGGGCTATAAAGTCAAGTATCAACAACTAGTCAACTATCACATCACTATCAGTATAAACATAAACATAAACAAACAGAACAGACTAGCCATTGGGATTGGAATCAGATTGTTGAGACGATCGTGATTGATTGGTGACGGAGAGAAGAGAAGGGAAGTTGGAATTTGCTATTTGCTAGGCTAACGTGAATACTCAATGGGGACAGCTCACTTACTCTACAGATCATAGACTATACGAGCTTTTTAAATAATATTGAAGGTTCACTTGCACTACAGGCTCGTATACTATACGAGCCTATCGAAAATAAAAAATAAATGAAGAGGGTTCACTTACTCTACGAATCATTGTGCCTATGAGCCTCGTGTATTATATTTAAAAATACAGTAGGAAGGTTCGCTTACTCTACAGATCATAGTGACTATGAGCCAAGCTTACGAATTATTTGATAATTTAGGAATCGGCTCGTATAGTATACGAGCCAAAATAATGAATAATATAAATTATAGGAATAGGCTCGTATACTATACGAGCCTGCAGAAAAATATTAGATGGCTCACTTACTCTACAGTTCATTGGCACTATGATCCGTAGAGTAAGTGAACCCTCTTCAAAATATTAGATGGCTCACTTACTCTACGGCTCATTTAGCTACTCGTTGCGCGGTTTGCGTTCGTGAAACTTTAGGCGCTATGCCCGGATTCGACTGCTGCGACTGCCTACATAAGTGTATTGCATCACCTCAATTATTTTTTAAAACGAAATAAATATGTATGCACAAGTAAATTTATTACATTTTTGGACTGAATACTTTAAAAATGGAGGGAGCATGACTTTTATGTTTAATTAAATTAAACGTTATAGAATAAAACATATTTTGACTAATATCAGGTTATATAATACACACTTGTATGATCCAGATACAGAGCTACAGACAAAACCTGTGGTCCGATTTAGATTAAATTTCGTATCTGGATTTATCCACGAGTCACTAATTTTTTAAGCACGGGTTGAGAAATAATGGCAAAAATTTATAAAAACAGTTCACCAGTTTAGAATATTTCTCAGTTACTGTGAGTTGCAAAAACGTGTATACAGAAGCATTTGTGTACACAGAAAATATAGAGGACTATATGTATACAGAAGATATATTAAAATACAATACGCACACAACTATCAACGTTTACATATGTAAAATTAATGAATTTGTTGTATTGAGTATTTTTAACATTATGACGAAGCCTTAACAAAACATTTTTTTTTTTAAGGAGTTCTAGGGTGTTGAACTATATTGTATTTATCTTTTGTGGAAGATTCTGTCCACGATTTATGATTGCTAACAATTTAATACAAAGATTTAAGTCTCTGTACGTGAAGACTAAAAACACGAAACAAACTTTAAAGTGATAGAAAAGATTTGATCAGGATCTGGCGTTTGATACCTTTTGGGAATAAATATAGCCTCTACTTCAAAGGTATACATGGTGAGGTAGCCTCTGGAAGTCCATCTTCAGGTTAACAAAAACGTCAATAGGTCATCTAACCAATTTGGTTAGATGACCTATTGACGTTTTCTGAAGATGGACTTATTTTCAAGTCCGAAACTATAGTAGTGTGATACTGAAGAAGGATCACTTGACGAAGCCAGGTAACTTAAACCATTTAGCTTAAAGTTATACAAGTTGGTTTCACACCAACATTTCATGCACATATGAAATCTATATAATTAATACGCGAACACGAAGTTTGTCGGTTGAATCCTCCACCATTTCTTAACCGATTTTATCCACTGACGTCTCATTGGAAAGAGCGTGTTGCGTAGATTTGCAAACTGGCCTAAATTTTTTGAAAAAGTCCCTTGGCCTCTGCCACAGTGGCTTTTTAAGTTCCCATGTTATCCTTTCGAAGAACATAATATTGTTTACATCAGCTGTTTAATTTAATTGTGTTCTTTGTTTTTCAATTCAACGAAACGCATTGGTTACATTAACTGATTTTGTGGAAATTAAATATCTATCTATATATTAATTACGAAAGCCGATTCTTTGCGTCAAAATTGTGGGCGACTGGGTAGTCGTAGAACGACGGGAGAGGGTTCAAATTAAAGGTCTCGATCCCGGAAAAATAGTGAAATTCCCCAAATTTTAACACAAAATTAGATAAAACCTTTGACTTAGTCAATAATATAACGTAAAATGTTCTCCATAAGAATAGCATTAGAAGCCATTTGTCTGTTGATTTTTGTTTACCTCAATACAGCTGATCGTGATTCATCTAAGCCAGTAAGCAATATTACATTTGAATTTAACTCATTTGCCAGTAAATTCTGCAATGTACTGTATACTATATAAAACCAGGGATGACGTTACCTACAATTGAGACTTTTGTCGTTATGTCTTAGAATGTTGAAATTAATTTTACTGTGCAATTTGCAAATTTGTGTATTTGTATGTAAATTAGCCAAGCGCATGAAATTTAGTAGAATCGTGGGAGATGGTTAAAATCAAAGTAAATGGAAGTAGAATGGCTGAAACATTTAAGATTTGGTTTCTTTAAACATATGTTCACGAAGTTTACAAAATTATTTTACTTTGATTACATTTCTTCACATTAGTAGGTTATTGTTGTGCTGAAGGAATGTTTAACATGAAATAGCCCCATTGACTAAATAATCAACGATGCAAGATTAGTTAGAAAACTTCTGTTTTGTTTTTATTTCAAAACATATGTTGAAAATTTATTCAAAACTTTTGTTTTAAATTTCATAACATTTAATTTGACACGTAATTGTAGTGTTTAATCTATGATTTTATCGAGTGGAATAACCTTAAGGGGATCCAGGCTTCAGAAAATACATTTTTTAAATTTTTTATGTTTATCATTTTTTTAAGATATTTATTATATCAAATGGGCCTAAAAACTGTTATTTTATTTGTTGTAGCCACTCTATGTACCACAGTACCATTTTATGTATTTTTATGTATCATAACGTAACACATTTTTATTTTTGATATAACTCATAAAATAGTTGATCAATTTTGTTCAACTAGGTGTCTTTTTGTAGCTATGTACACTTACTGAAATCCTGGGTATTACTTTGTTTGTAGGATAATTAGTTTTTATTTTATAAAGGTTGAAAAACAAACAAAAAATTCTTATACTATATTTCAAATAAAATTTTTTTTATTATTTTAACTATTTGACTTATATTAATAATTATACCCAAAAGTTTGTAAATACTATAAAGAACATCTGGTAAAAATTTCAACATGATAGGACAAAAATTGGCTGAGATATATCAAATTTTCTGTTACAAAACACTAAAAACCACAACTTTCGGGGAATCGCGATCGAAGTCCTAGAAAATACTAAGACGCGCGCATGTAGTATCTGGGGAAAATATATTTTTTGTTATGAAAAACGTGTAGGATACCTATAAAACTTATATTTTCTTGTACATAAATAACCAAATAACAATAAAATACTATAAAAAAAAGAAGTGAATTTTGGCAATTTTTTCACTTTCTGAAGCCTGGATCCCCTTAACAGTTACTCTAGAGAATAACCTGGGAATAAAATTTGAAATAGGTTTGTACAGGCAATACATATATTCCTTTCATTAATTACTATAACAAATTCCAATGGGCGGAAAAATAAAATTGTTTGGAGTAGATTTTAACCAGGTATCTACTGTCTGTTGTTCCAAGGAAAAAAGGTTAAAATAATATAGCCCAACATGCATTGTATATATATACAATCTATATAGATAGTAAAGATAGAATATATAACAGTAAACCCTGGAGGTAGTTTCCGATTCTTTATGTTTCACTAACCAAAAATATGTACCTATATCAATGCTGATGAATTTGTTTTCTTGATTGGTTTCATTAACATGATAATGGAACCCTAACCAATGGCAAGTAATCAGTCGATGATTCGCTTTTTTAACTGTAGGCTAAATAAATAATATAAACGGTAAAATGTTTTCAAACAAAATTTACATCCATTGAATGAAAAATAATATACTATTAACATGACTATAGCTGATATGGCTTAGCTGTCGGCTATCTGTACATTGCATCATAACATCAGACAGCGCTGTGTTATTAACTTAAAAATTATAACGGATTAACAAATAAATACTTTACTATGGTCTTAACAAACTATGAACCCATTGAACGTTTAAATTGGCCTATTTTAAAGAGTGTATAAAATCAACCACAGCTTTAGGAGGAATACCACCACATAAGCTGACACAGAGAGTAGTTTATATTTTATGTTGATCAGAAACGAAACTATAATCAACTATAACTTATAGGGCAGCCTTTACACTAATTCAGTTGTGCCTTTACAAAAGGAGTAGAGCTATAATATTAGAAATAATAACTGGGCCAGGGTACTAATATGAGTACATGTAGTATTGTAGCACTGTATCGATTCTGACACATAGATAATTTTATTCTGAGTTTGTTTAAATATTACAATAGTTTGTTTTACATTTGAGCTTTTTAGGGACTTATGTCCCTACAAGCCACTAGTTTATCAATATAAAGCCCAAAGTACACATGAACTTTTGTGAAAACTACAAGTCATACCCCCATAAACCATATACTTAAAATGTTCGTCATGACGAGAAAACTAGCGCAAAACTATCCATTATTTCATAAACTGCCCTTAAAGGTCGTAATTGCTTTCCAAGGAAACATAGGAAAGTCATAGAACGCCACCAAGTAGCAGAAATCGAGATTTTTTAAAAATATTATCGTTATCATCCTATATAAAAGAAGAACACCTACAATACGAAGATTCCCACAAACAATGAACAAGGATGTTATCGGAAGTGCTACTATTTTGTAGGAAACACGGACTTAACTTTATGATGATTTGCAAAGGAAACCCCTCTAAGGCTGAATTAAACTGGTACGGCAAGGACATTATATATGTTTTCATAAAAGTCAAGTGATTTTAAAATAATATGTCTACATCCAAGAAACCTTATTAAAACTTGCATTGAAGGATT